AAGCTCACTGACACACACACGCTCACTACAGACAAGCTCACTGACACACACACACACATGCTCACTACAGACAAGTTAACTGATGCACACACATGCTCACTACAGACAAGCTCAGTGACACACACATGCTCACTACAGACAAGTTCACTAACACACACACACGCTCACTACAGACAAGCTCACTGACACACACATGCTCACTAATAGGCTCACTGACACACATACTTACTGTAGACAATCTCACTGACACACATGCTCCCTACAGACAAGCTCACTGACACACACATGCTCACTAATTACAAGTTCACTGACACACATGCTCATTACAGACAAGCTCACTGACACACACACATGCTCACTTTAAACAAGCTCACTGACACACACACATGCTCACTACAGACTCCACTGGCACACACATGCTCACTATGAACAAACTCGCCACTCACACATGCTCACTACAGACAAGCTCATTGACACACACACACACTCACTACAGACAAGCTCACTGACACACACACGCTCACTAACAACAAGCTCACTGACACACATGTTCCCTATAGACAAGCTCACTGACACACACACACACGCTCACTACAGATACGCTCACTGACACACACACGCTCACTACAGACAAGCTCACTGGCACACACATGCTCACTAATAACAAGTTCACTGACACACATGCTCCCTATAGACTAGCTCACTGACACACAGACGCTCACTACAGACAAGCTCACTGACACACACACAGGCTCACTACAGACAAGCTCACTGACACACACATGCTCACTACAGACAAGCTCACTGACACACACATGCTCACTAATAACAAGCTCATTGACACACATACTCCCTATAGACTAGCTCACTGACACACACACGTTCACTACAGACACGCTCACTGATACACACACGCTCACTACAGACAAGCTCACTGATACACACACGCTCACTACAGACAAGCTCACTGACACACACACATGCTCCCTATAGACAAGCTCACTGACATACTCACTACATACAAGCTCACTGACACACACACACACACTTTAACTACAGACAAGCTCATTGACACACACACGCTCACTACAGACAAGCTCACTGACACATACACATGCTCACTACAGACAAGTTAACTGACAAACACATACTCACTACAGACAAGCTCACTGACACACTCACATGCTCACTAATAACAAGTTTACTGGCACACATGCACACTAATAACAAGTTTACTAACACATACACGCTCACTACAGACAAGCTCACTGACACACAAACACGCTCACTACAGACAAGCTCACTGACACACACACGCTCACTAATAACAAGCTCACTGACACACATGCTCCCTATAGACAAGCTCATTGACAAACACGCTCACTACAGACATGCTCACTGACACACACACACTCACTGCAGACAAGCTCACTGACACACACATGCTCACTAATAACAAGTTCACTGACACACATGCACATTACAGACAAGCTAACTGACACACACACGCTCACTACAGACAAGCTCACTGACACACCTACGCTCACTACAGACAAGCTCACTGACACACACACACACATGCTCACTAATAACAAGTTCACTGACACACATGCTCCCTATAGACAAGCTCACTGACACACACACTCACTACAGACAAGCTCACTGACACACACACACGCTCACAACAGACAAGATCACTGACACACACACGTTCACTAATAACAAGCTCACTGACACACATGCTCCCTATAGACAAGCTCACTGACACACACGCTCACTACAGACACACTCACTGACACACACACGCTCACTGCAGACAAGCTCACTGACACACACATTCTTACTAATAACAAGTTCACTGACACACATGCACATTACAGACAAGCTCACTGACAAACACACGCTCACTACAGACAAGCTCACTGACACACACACATGCTCACTATAGACAAGCTCACTGACACACACACATGCTCACTAATAACAAGTTCACTGGCACACATGCTCCATGCAGACAAGCTCACTGACACACACATTCTTACTAATAACAAGTTCACTGACACAAATGCACATTACAGACAAGCTCACTGACAAACACACACTCACTACAGACAAGCTCACTGACACACACACATGCTCACTAATAACAAGTTCACTGGCACACATGCTCTATATAGACAAGCTCACTGGCACACACACTCACTACATACAAGCTCACTGACACACACACATGCTCACTACAGACAAGCTCACTGACACACACATGCTCACTACAGACAAGCTCACTGACACACTCACTACAGACAAGCTCACTGACACACACACACACACATGCTCACTACAGACAAGCTCACTGATACACACATGCTCACTAATAGGCTCACTGACACACTTGCTTACTGTAGACAATCTCACTGACACACACATGCTCCCTAAAGACAAGCACAGTGTCTCACATGCTCACGACAGACAAGCTCACTAACACACATGCTCACTATAGACAAGCTCACTCACTAGCAGGCACATACACAAACAAGCTCACTCTCAGTCATGGGTTGCTGAGTAAGGCTATCTGGCACTAAATGCTGTGGGAGCACTGGGAGGTAAAGTTCCCACTTTCCAGCAGGTCAGCCGCTTGAGTCTGGAGAGGTGGAGCATTAGTGCAGGGGCAGAGCTTGAGTGCTGGGTAGAGCAGGAGAGGCACAGAAAGCGTCTTCCCTACAGTGCTCTCTCCGACCCCCAGCTTCTTCCTCCTTAATTCCCTCGGACTCACTTACTGTGAGGGGGGAAATTATTTAAATGTCATTAGGGCTATTGAATTTCGAATCCCGCCTGCGGTTGCCATGGCAGAGCCAGACAAAAAGATAAGACAAGACCTGCGGACCGGACGTTCCCCACCCCTGAAATATATCCATAATAGCCGTGTTTTTACACTCTATAGCCAGCTGCCAGGCTCTTACTGTTACACCTGACATCAGGTGGTTAATATACTCAATGTGAGCGCTGCCCTCTGCCCTTAGCATGGTGTCCTTCTGTGAATATAAATGATGATCCTTCCATCCCCCCCCCCCCATCTCCTTGCCCAGGGGCTATTGGGTTTATGATAAGACTCCTAGTTTCTTTATGTAATATTGTAATATATTAATGCCCGCCATATCATTTCTCTTGCTTGTGTTGTTTAACTTTTCCTAGAATTGAGAAACCTGACTTACATTTATACTCGGCCAGCATAATGGTTATTATCACGCCAGATGGCAATATGATGTCCAGCGAGTCGGTGTCATGACAGGGAGCCTACATATATACCTACCCAAATGTCTCAGTGTCTCCATGCCTACCAGTGTCCCCATGTCTATGTCCACAAGTGCTCCATGTCTCCCAGTGTCCCCAAGTGTCTGTGTCCCCATGCCTCCCAGCCAGTGTCCCTAGTGTCTGTGTCCCCATGTCTCCTAGTGTCTGTGTCCCTAGTGTTTGTCTCCTCATTTCTCCCAGTGTCCCCAAATGTCTGTGTCCTCATGCCTCCTGGTGTCCCCATGTCTGTATTCACAAGTGCTCCCATATCTCTCAGTGTCCCCGGGTCTCTCAGTGTCCCCATGTCTCTCAGTGTCCCCTAGTGACACAGGACACACTGACACATGGGGACACTGGGAAAAATGGGGACACAGACACTGGGAGACTAGGGGACTGGGCAACATAGGGACACTGATGCCAGGCTGGCCTTCCAATTCTTTGGACAGACATGCCCCCTTTTTGGGCATGTTCACCCCTTTTGGCAGTTCTGGTCACGTGATTCGTTCAGTGGTGCACCGTTTTACCCCACCCATGGACACTGCTGTTATGGGTTATGGATTTACTTGAAAGCTGAAAGCATTAATTAGATAAAGAGATTAGCATAGAGGATGTGTTTTCTTATAGCTGCATCTTTAGAGTTTCCCTCCAACACCAACTCCATCAGATACATGACTCTTGAGAGGTATGACTGTTTTAGTGTTTTTGGTCAATAAGTTTCTGTAATTAGGCCCCATCATAATTGTCAGCACCAGGCCCACTGGGCTCTTAATCTGGCCCTGGGTATCTCTAACTAATAATTTCTCATCCTTTTCCAACCACTTTTTATTCACATCATATGGTGTTCTACAAATGCCTATCTCCATTTTGATTTGGTAAACAATTAGAATTTTAACCGGATTCCAGCGAGGGGCTATGACCATCTCCCAGCTTCTGGCAATCAACATCTTGGCAGCTGCCAAGATGTGTATCACAATAGCTGAAGAGGGACCAACATTTTTGGAGTGTTTAATTGTCATAATAGAAGTCTGGGGTTGAAATGATTAGTTTTTGAAAGTAAGGTTTGAATTTTTATCATATTCCAAAATAGTTGGATAGGTTGACATTCCCACCATTTATGCAGGAAATCTCCTCTGTGAGCTAGGCATCTCCAGCATCTCTCTGAGACACCTCTCAGGTTGAGGACATGCATAATAAAAACACCCCAAAATACATAATTAACAATGGAGTACCCCCTCAAGTTCTATATCCCCTGGTAGCCTGGATCTGAGCGCCCAACATATACAGAAAGCACTCAGATCCCACAAACGCAGCCGAAACGCCACCAGGGTATAGTTTAGACCGACCGCACACAAGGCGCCTGCCCAAAATAGTTCTATGAAATCAGAGTGTAAGGTCAGTCTCTTTCGGGAGTACTAAATACAACATTATATACGAATAAATGGTTCTTGTGTGCGCTCCCACAGTGTATCTTGTTCAGGTGTATGTTCCCACCGAACGCCATTTAATTCGTATGAATCCAACCGTATGAATGGAGGTGGAAGTCCCAGCAGTGTTTGCACCGTTGAGTGTCAGATTTTAGTTCAATGCACTCAATGACCAAACACCCCTGTCTGTGTTCACAGCCCAAGATGGCCGCAGCCACGTATTTGCACATATGAACAGTGACCACCCAGCCGACCACTTAGACCAGGCTTCCCCAAACTTCGACCCTCCAGATGTTGCTGAACTACAACTCCCATGATTCTCAGCCATTCTATTTAATCCATAGAATCATGGGAGTTGTAGTTCAGCAACATCTGGAGGGCTGGAGTTTGGGGAAGGCTGATTTAGACTGTTGGTGTTATTGCGGTTTCAGAGATGTTAGCATAGGTTAATGAGGTCAACAAGTGGCACACTCTGCATCTGGGTCGTCTGTCATTCGTGATTTATTCGTTATTGAAACAGGGCAATGTTAATATACGAGGTAAACGCAATTTACCAAACAAACAGGCAAAGGGAACAAAGGGCTGTATAATTCAGGGTCAGGGAGATCTGTCACACAGAGCTTAGTGAATAAACCTCTATGAGATTGTATTTGTTTGTTTTTTTTTTGTTTTGTTTTTTTTTTTTATTCTTTATTTTTGTAGTGCATAGGCATATAACAGTTGCATGTGAGGTACCCCAAAGGCATTCCTCTAGCACAATACGAACAGTGGAACATAGGGGTACAAGGGAGATCAAGCACATTTTTTATATATAAGGGTAGAAACAGTATAGCTTAACTTTGTTTAGGCATTTGCATAACGTTTGCATAACATAACTTTCTGGGCATGTGATTATTTTGCAGTGGCAAGAGATGGTCAAGCTATGAGTAAGTTACTACATGCGTTAAGGAAAGGCTGAGTGAGTCAAAAGATTGGTTATTGCTAGTGGCAGCAGCAGGAGATATGGTGGTAAGATATGCTGTGACATGGCTGACATAAGTTAGTAACGTGTCGGGTTGGACACCATCATGGCAGGCTGGTATGTCTACCTATACGTGGGTGTTTAGCTTATGAGTAACTAGAACCTTCCTAGCCATTAAGGCTATAGATTAGTGGTCCCACGGATAAGTGTGCTGGACCAACTCTGGTGGCAGGATATCGAGGTTATACTCGGAGAGGCTTGGTAGGTGATTGCTGCGTCCCAAGTGGCATTCCCCCCGTGGTCCCTAGCGTTGACAGAGCCATGTGCCATGCCGGGTTGCTGTATGCAAGTGCCCAGCACCAATGAGACATTGGGCTTAGTGTTTAGTTGGCGGCAGTGGCGCTGGCTTTACATTAAGTGTGTAGGTGCAGTTGTGGGGCATACATGGAGCAAAAGAAAGTTGAATAACATAATAAATGCAACTCATAAAAAAAATGAAGGTACATATTTACACTCTTGTCAAAAATAGAGTCCTCCACTGTCTGCGGTTAGGTATGTCCGCTGTGTCGGTCAAGTCCCCTAGCCAACTCCAGCTCTCAGGGCGTGCAGTCTGGTTGCAGGGATCTTCTTGGTGTTATAGAGTGTCCAGCCTCTTCGTTCGATGCATGGGGTCTCTGCGTTGATATAGGCATGGCCCCATTCCGGTGGGGTGGACCTGCCAACGTGAAAGAGTCTGCGTGAGGTGATGTGTCGCCGGCTGTGGTGTCGCCTCCGAGTTGTGCCAGGGCCTACCTCCGAGTGTTGTCGGTAGGGGTGTTGCGGTGTGGTCTGCCTGGGGCCCTTCGGCCCTGTCCGGTCCCCGTTTAGCGCAGTGTGTCGCTGCAGCGGGACCGCCTTTTCATGCCTCCTAGGTATGTTAAGTTTTGCCGGGCCCTTGTATGGGCGGGTCGCCGCCATAGGTATTGGTAGTCGCTTGGGTTTACAGGCTTTTCGGTTTTGCCATCCGCAGGCTTTGTTGGCGCGAGGCGGTGTGCACGTTTGTTGGGGGATCACCGGCAGGACTGTGACAGGGTGGTATGCCTTGGTCTGTTGCTCCCTGGAGGCTATTGTCCTCCAGAACCTGGCGAACAGCTCATCCAGCCTGGTCTCAAGGTCAAGTTTCTTTGTGCCTCAGGCACACGTGGCGGCGGCCATTTCGGTCTCCATCTTGTCACTAGCGGTTTGCTGGTTGGGGATGCGATTTAGGCTGCTGCCGTCTTCTGCATTCCGTGTAAGCTTGTGGTACTCGATTGTGTGGACCGGGATAACCCCCGCCGGTCCCGAGGGGGGGGGAGAAGCCCGATGCTTCGGGTGCTGCCTTGTTAGGTGAGCCGGGAGAGCGGCCGTCTCTCCCCTGCTCTGCATGTTGTAGGCCCCAAGCCTCCGGTCTGGATTCCCAGCGGGCTTTTGCACGTGTGAGGTGTCCCCCGGTACCCCTGCCTCCATGTAGCAAGGTGGGGTAAGTTGGGGTTCTGAGATAGGCTGTATTCCCACTGTTTTCTGCCAAAAATCAGATTCAGGCCTGGGAGCTCACAGAAAGCGTGTCTGTTCAACTCCCCGGTCAGGCCCCGCCCCCTGTATTTGTTTTTATGAGGGGGCGGCGAAATGGATCTTTGCCTAGGGAGGTAGAAATCCTTGCACTGGCCCTGTTGCAGATGACACAAAACTCTGTAAACTAATAAAACGTGAGAAGGACATTACTTTGCTGTAGAGAGATTGATTTGAGGACTGGGCACTCAAATAGCAGAGTAAAGTTTAATGTAGATAAATGCAAAGTTATGCACTTCGAGTATAGAATGCACAAAGCAACTTAAATCACTACTATAGGGTCAGGAACACAAACATGTATTCCTGACCCTATAGAGTTAAAACACCATCTAGTGACCCTGGTCCCCTCATGCCTCCATAAATATAGTAAATCTTACTTGTATTCAAGTCTGCAGCTGCTTTATTTTATGCCTGTTTCCTTGCTGACATCATCAGTTGTGGTAGCCTGATCCAATCACAATGCTTCCCCAAAGGATTGGCTGAGACTGACAAAGAGACAGAGTCAGCACAATTCAAACACAGCCCTGGCCAATCAGCATCTCCTCATAGAGATGAATTGAATCAATGAATTGCATGCAGAGGGAGGAGACACTGAATGTGTGGATGCATTTTACGCAGCCATGACCCAGGAAGGATCTCTAACAACTATCTAAGGAGTTGCCAGTGAAGTTATCACTAGGCTGTAATGTAAACATTGCATTTTCTATGAAAAGACAGTTGTAACGGATCGACGGGCACCCCGACTGGGTACCTCTGTTGAAGGATGCTCCTAGCGCTTCCTGAGGGCTCCAAGCACTCCAGCCGATACCATAACCTCCATAGACTCCTTGATAACGCAAGCTTTAATCCAACACTCTGCTTTTATGCACATTCTACAAACATAGTACCGCCCACAGGGTTTTGCAGAACAACCAATCAATACCTACAATGGACTCAGACACTCCCAGCAACTACACACAAAATCCTCCCCTCTGTGATATAATTACTGAACACAATGGGTTAATGTATTATCACAGGCAGAGAAATACACTTTTTACAAATGTACTATAACTTTAAAACTATACATTCAATGTTCATAAAAACGACATATTAATACTCAGCACACTTTAATTACACACATATCCAATTCAGGTGATTCCTTCCAGGGCTTAAAAAGTTAGCTGGAAGTCCTTTATGACCGACCGCAGGCACATTTTCATGCCCAAAACAGTTCCATAGATTTGGGCTGTGCGGTCGGTCTATTTCACACTGAAAACGGGAACGGGAAAACGGGAACGGGTCTCTGCGGCTGAAAAATCAGTGTAGGAGAAGGTAAGGGTCAGTGGTGTTCGTGGAACTGTGTAGCCGATTTCAGTTCCATGAATTTGGCTACACACACCGCTGACCGCGTTCGGTTTGCACGAACGGCGGCCCCCTAGCGGTCGGCAATTTACCTACAGCAGGCTCCCAGCCTGGGAGGTAAATTGCCTGCACGCTTCCACTTCTGGGAGGTCCGCCTGTGTGGTACTTGGTTCAGTAAGCCCCATTTACTGAACCAAGTGGGAGAAAGCCAGGAACACAGTATATTAAAGGTTTGGGGACACTGGGGACACCTTCTTAAAGGGGCATTGTCCCAAAAAGTCTCAATATGCCCACATACCGTTCTTAAAGGGCCATACACAGTCCAATAGAAGTCCATACGCTGTGCTTAAAGGGCCAGTAGCAGCACATTAATAAAATCCATTATGCCCAAATGATGTCTTTAAAGGGCAATACCTCCAGGAGCCATAGTCACAGGGCAGGAGGAGGGCAAACAGGCCCCTCCAAAAACTCCTGGCAAACTCCCTTAAAGGGATGAGTTTGCCACAACAGTGTTTACCGCAAAAAGCCTGAAGGAAATGATTCTACTAACCAGAACAAATTCAATAAACTGTGGTTGTTCTGGTGACTATAGTGTCCCTTTAAACGGATAACACACAAGAAGGATTTTGGAATTGTTATAGACAACAAACTATACAACAATCAATCAGCACTGGCTAAGGCCAGTAAGGTTTTGTCATGTATAAATAGGGGCATAAATTCTCAGGAAGAAAATATAATTTTGTCTCTTTATAAACTGCTGGTAAGACCATGCCTTGAATATGCTGTGCAATTTTGGGCACCTGTTCTAAAGAAGGATATTATGACACTAGACAAAGTGCAGAGGCAGGCTACAAAATTAATATGGGGAATGGAAGATTTTAGTTATGAAGAAAGGTTAACACATTTTAAATATGTTAAGTTTAAAATCACAGCCACTCAGAAGGGATATGATAGCATTATATAAATATATTTGTGTCCAATACAAACCATTGTGTGGAAATCTATTCATAAACAGGACACTACATAGGACACAAGGTCATCTATTTAGACTGGAAGAAATGAGATTTAGTTTAAGTCAAAGGACAGAGTTATTTACAGTAAGAATAATGATGTGGAATTCACTGCATTTTATCAGAGTCTGTATCGATTTTTAAAAAGCAGGATATTCATGGTTCATCGACTGGGAAAGAAAATAAAAAAAACTTGGTGTAGCAAGTTCAGCCGTCCTCACATTTGTTTTTTGCGGTTGTTCCAAAAGAAGGCAAAAAAAACAGTTTGCAGTGCTGCCAATTTTCAATCAAACTCGGAGGGGAATAAAATCCTTCTCGACTGAAAAATGGGAATCAGATCACTCCTCGGATCGAAAAGCCATTACCCCATTAAATTAAAAATGATAACCCTGGATATTATATTTTCGCAAGAATGCATCCATAGTCAGGGATATAATTATTTATTTCAATCAACAGCAAAAACTGATGAGAGAAAGGCTCAACCTAACGGACGCATGTCTTTTTCAACCCATAACACTATGTAGCTTTTTTTGATCATTGTGAAAACAAATGACTATTCTCATCTTTTTGATGCCTGCATCATTTTCTTGGGCAAAAAGTCTTGCTTTAAAAAATATAAAAGGTACACAATCAGTTGTATAATTTGGGAGAACATGTACATCATGATGTATTCTAGGTACTCATTTATTTCTGACCGAAACAAAAAGATAAGTCCTGAACAAGAGGCTATTCTTATTAATGTCATTTAAATGCATTTTATTTTCCGGTCCATGCGATTGCAAGGTTTTAAGTGTCTCCGATCCATTATCTGAACAATAAAAACATGGGACATTTTAGAATTGAAATGAGGGATGCCATTTTGAACGTGGCAGGACCTTGACAAACAAATCACTCTAGTATTTTTAATTTAATTTTTATAAAGGAGTGTATTCACTAAAAATTGAATGGAAAACACATTTGCAAACGTCAGACAAATTTAGCAGAATTGTACGTGTTCTCCAAACCTGCACGGTTCCCAGCTTGACTGTGGCCTGTATTTTATAATTCAGTTTTCAATTTATAGTTAAATTAATAAACCCCGAATTTATTTCTTTTTTAAAAAGGTGACGTTAAGCTCTTGACATTCCTCAGAAAGATAAGGTGATCAGAGTTACTCCATAAGAATATATTTACCTTATGACGGTTCTATTGGTATTTTACTTAATACACTATCGTGTACCTTTAAATAGTTACATCACTCCTGATAATATTGCTTTGCTTTTTCAGCCTCAAAGAAAAAAAAAAAAGTTATATTTATTTATTTGTTACTGGCATTTATAAAGCGCCAACATATTCCGCAGAGCACACACCCACATACATGTAGTAAAGTTGCCTGGACAACGAGGTGTGCCATCATATCTACAATGTCTATCAGTATGACCTGCGCAACATCACCCAGCAGCCACAGAGATCAGAGCGTGCTTAAAAAAAATGCAGACGTCTGCCAAAATCCCACTGCCTCCTTTGACGATTGGCAGCTGTATTCCACAGACACTCAGAAACATCGTGTATGCCCATCATAGGCTGGTGGCCTATTTGGTCAGCCCCAAACACACAAATTCACCAACTCCCGAACACACGAATGCTGTTAAACAGCCGAACAGGAAAAACCATACGAACAACTTACACTCCTGGCAGTCGCACTGTAACAGCATACAATCCAATTCCCCCCAAGAACGAGACGACACTTCGTTTGAGGATCAAGCAGAACTGTTTTACTGGGGCTACCTGCCCGGCTTTTATGCAGGTCTCCCACCTGGTGGACACTCCCCTAGGGGACCAGATGGGAAACTGGGAAACATATTGGACATTGACCAATCACAAGCTTACAATCCCACAATGCATCACAATCCCTCCTCTCTGTCCTGGAGGTAATTGGGAAGTAATCCAATTATCTCCAAGGACAGAGGCAAAACTCCATTAACCACATGGCAGACAAAGGACAAAAAAATACATAAAATTACATACTGTTACATTTATCACATAGAACATACACATTCTACCTATCCCCAGATAGCTTAGATCTGAGCGCACATTATTACCGGATGGTGCTCAGGTCACATACATACAGTTCAATCGCCATGCTGCCAAAGTCTTTCATACAGTCTTTCAATATATGGCTGGGCTCCATGGCATAGCTATCTGGGGTAGCATGATTTAAACAGTAAAGTACCGAATGGACCGGTGTTCGGATAATTGACTGCAGGTAGGATAAGGGAGGTCGGCGGCTCAGCGGTGTTCGTGACTTTAACAGTCCGCAGAAAGGCACGAACCAGCCTTTCTGCAGTGAAAAAGAACAGTGTTAAGCATGGGGCTATAGTCTAAAGAGAGCAGGCAAGCAACCAGGCTCCTCCAGTGGCGAGGTTGGTTCCACCACAGGTGTATTAAACACTGAACAGTTAACCAATGGAGGAGAACCAGATCTGGATAAACACAACATATGATTAAAAGAATAATGCAAAACACAGGTTTTTTCGCTAAACTGTTACATTTCAGGAATACATTTCAATATATTTTAACTTTCAGGCCACAAAAGTAAACTTGAAAAATGTTAAATGGTCTCTGACTTCCTGACAATCCACACTTCAGTCACATTGTAACCAATATTTCTCGTATCATAGGGCCTGCCCGAGCCAGCATTCACGACGAGCGTTCATGGCGTAAAGAACACCGGCTACAGCCAGGAGATGCGAGTCCACGTAAGTAAATTAGAATCTAAACAGCTCATTACACGTATATATTTTCTAGAACGCAGAACAAACCCAACAAGTACATAATTAAATTAAGACAATCACTTGTTGTAGGGCAGAGTCCCTGAAATTGCTTGGAGAGGCATTGCAGAAAATTAAAGAAATAATTTGTCATTAGACGTAGTCCATACAAATACCAATATTCTTGTGTTCCAGTGTAACTGCTAGAGGCTTGTACCAGAGACTAGAACGTGGCCTCTCTGGCCTGGATTTCCTGTGAACAAGTTCCGGGTCTGTGAACTTGGCGTCTCTGGCCTGGATTTCCACATGGACATGTTCTGGCTCAGTGGACTTAGCCTCTCTGACCTGGATTTCCACATGGACATGGCATCTCTGGCCTGGATTTCTACGTGGACATGTTCTGGCTCGGTAAACGTGGCCTGGAATTCCACATGGACATACAATTTCTTGGTGAACGTGGCTTGTTTGGACTGTGTTTCCATGTGGACATGTTCTGGCTCATTGACCGTGGCCTCTCTAGCCTGGATTTCCTCGTGGACATGTTCTGGCTCGGTTTGGAAGACTAGTGATTTTGTTGTTTGTAATGTAAACACACAGACAGCAATGCACAGTCTCCATACTGCGCCAGGAACACCAACTTCATAATCCAGAAGATCTGCTCGAAGGCTGCTACAGATTGAACCTTCTTCCATAAAATTGGTGAATTTTTGTCTCATACGTAACTGTTTCCAACTGGAAAGATCTGTCAGTAATTGTAAACTTTAAGAAAATCAGTCACTTATGTTCTTCCATCAGAGAACATGGTGGACTGTGCAGCAGAGATTGCACCTTAATTAAAGGGTAGAAACAACCACGCTTAATATAGAGGTAGGACAGAGGCCTAGGACATCTTCTTAAAGAATCTTACAGAGCGAAATGTAATAAACCAAATAACAGTTGTAGCAATTGTGGTGCGAGCTTGTTAGTTGCTTCATGTAAAACTTGTTTTTAAAGGTTTAGAATCAACTTCCACTTACCTCACTTTCTAAATTACTAACTCGAAATACATGCTTCTGCATTAGCAATGTCATTTTTGACAACAGTGATCAGACACCTTACAAAAACAAACAAACACACCTAACTTGACTTGCCTAGATTTGTTTTAAATCCTCCATGCTTGGCAAATTTAACAGATTTCATCCCAAACCAGGAAGTGAATCAAACAATCGTGATGTTTATTTTACTGCCTGCAGCTATTCCATAAACGTTTCATTATGAGCGCATCGTAGTCGTCTGTGAATTGTAGTTTGCCTTCTACAGAAGAAACTTGACAGCTATGACATTTTATTGTAGCAATACTCAGAGTAAAAAGGAAAATGTAACATTCATTTGGAGAGACAGAAAGGGTGGTCTTGTGGAATAAAAAACTTATTACTCTCTGTAAATACCGGATCTGACAGCCCTCCTTTACAGAAATCTACAATAAATGTTTGGTAAATGGTTTATTTAATGTGAGAGTGTGGGCTGACATAAAATATTCAATGCATCACAAGCTTGAACAGCCTTGGGGAATTATCTGTACTGTTCAATAAACTTGGACTCCTTTCTGTGTGTTCCAGACGGCCCGCGTAGATTATACGTAGTAACTGCTGACCTGTCAGCACAGAGTTCCACTTAAACTGCATTAAAAAGTTACAGCGAAATTGAACAGAAATTTACATAAATTGGATCCATTTATATGTGAACAAGTTCTGTAATCAGTGAATTTGCTGTAATGTAGAATATGTGTCTGCTTGTCAGACTTTTATGGAGGATTGTTCTAATATCTGTATACCAAGCTTGTGTATAAAGGTACAACACAAACTGTTGCTAAAGTAAGAGGGATAGGGTCTTAAAAAGGGGACACACTGGAGTATGGGCTTGAGAGACATTTGCTTTCTAGGAACTCTAGGCTCTCTCTTTAACAAACAAGAAACAAGTAACCCCAATATTTTTGCTTAGCAAAAAGTAAGCTTAATACCATACCCATTGTACAGCTCTGCGACATCTGTTCGCACTTTAGAAACAATAACTATCACCCCCCTCACCCAAGTTTAACATTGACGTATATATTTTGTTATATAATTTACAATATGTAGAACCAAAATGAAAGTGTCTTTAGACATTCAGAAAGTTATGTCAGCAATATTGCTGATTTTGTAATGGTATATAAATGACAGAAGCCTGGACTGAGGGGGGAAGCCTTGTTTTTAATATAATAGAGGCCCTGGGCATCACAGGCGGTCATCACACATCCATCAGCCATTGCTATTAGCCGGCGGAGGATATAGGACATGCTCTATTAAACTATTCAGAGACAGACCCTTGAATCTGGAGTAAGACTGCAAGATTCTCCTTCCCAATAGCTGGATGTAGGTGGGAGCAAGATGATCAGAAATGCTTTCTAAGAAAATCTTACTTACATTTTATGCATCAGCTCTTTAAAGGAGGTGCTGCCCTCTAGTGGGAAGCAATAACCAGCAGCAGAGTCTGCTATACGGCTCTATCACAGAGACACTACCGTAAATTACCCGTGTGCAGGAGGGGTTATGGGAGATGCACCATATGACCAAATAACAGAATAGGAAGAACAGGTTTAGCTGAGAAATTTTAGAAACCTTGAGCTCACTGCAGATCCTGGGTGTTAGTTCGCTTTCAGTGACAATCTGAAAGGAGGATTTCTCTCTTGGCATTTTTCTGGCAAAAAAATGCATTAAAAAGATTTAAGGGGCACCTGTATGTATGCAGAGAAATCTAGATATGAAAAACTAGAATTACCTGGTGTTTGCTTGCAGGACCTCAAGGTATCCACATCCCAGATTGCAATGCTTTTAGACACGCATCCTCTACACAGCCAACATAATAGGAATCCCTGAGACCAGTCATCTCAAACTCCACCCCTCAGATGTTCCTGAACTACAACTCCCATGATTCTCTGGCCGTCTATTACATGCAAAGAATAATGTTGTAGGCCATTAACATCTGGGATTCCTGCCATAGACTATTCCGTATGCAATATAAAGCTATTGAACATTTAGGTATAAAATATTATGATTTTTAAATGGCACCGTTTTTTCCCCGTACATGGCAGAAGCTCTTTAACCCCGTAAGGACCAAACTTCTGGAATAAAAGGGACACGTCATGTGTCCTTAAGGGGTTAAGAGGCTAGGGATACACCCGGCGCTACAATTTGGGTACAACATTGTGTGTACAGTAGGGCATGCTATAGAAATAATCTCTAAGGGTTGAACTTATAATGAGGAGAACATTTCAATGGAATTCTGTATATTACATGGAGCAGACTATAGGCAATAATTCATACCCTCCATAGTTAATCTAGCCCCTAGTGGCCACGAGGGAGTGCTATTAAATGATCACATTAGCCTAGCAGCCAATCATTTTATCCCATGCTACGTCAGATCATTACATTTGCCAGAACTACTGCCAAGTCCCCGCCCTGTTTTTTGTGTGTGTTTTTAAATAAAATCCAACATTAAAACAGAGAGAAAGATTTTTTTTTTTGCCACAATGGTTGCTTTAGTGACCGAGCTTATGCGCAGAATTTGCAAGAAAACAGATGCAAACCCTTCCAGTTACCAACTATTTGCCCTACTTTCCCACACTGTTTCACATTTCAGTAACAGTTCAGTGTACTAGTCCAAAGACAGCTCGATGATTCCCAGGCTCTCCAACATCTTTAAATTCAACTAAAGTCTGTGTGTAAGTGTGCGGGTTATTGTAAAGAAAAGAAAAAAAATACTAAATTTTTTTCTTAACGTCCATCAATTGAAAAAAAAAATATGGGAGGGGAAAAAAAATAAATCAACAAACTGGGTCTGTAGATTAGCGAGTTAAATAGAGCAGGTGTTAGGGTTATGAGCAGAGAGTGCTAATGCAGCAGGCATTACGAGTTTGTACTTTTCAATACACAGCATGATGCTGTCCGGTGGATAAAAGCAGTGCATAGAGGGGAGGGGGGGAATAATGATCGATCGCCCCCTCGGTGGGGAAGATTTGGTAGAGTTCACATCGTAGAGCACCCTCATCCGTAAAAACAGTAACAGTCCAGTGTGGATTCCCAGGCTCGTCATGGGAGATTTCTACCCTTTCCTAAGATGCTCAGGCAGTGGGGTGTATACAACACCTGTACGGTGAGTTCCTGTGGGGTTCAAGGGGTAGGGAGGCAAGGCAATCTTTTCCTTAGGATGGCTGTGAACCCAGCAGTCTCTCAATGGCTGCATTGATGTCTCCTCCAGTCGCTATGAGTGCCTGCAGGTTGGCCTCACGGTTGATGAAGCCCATTGCACTGAGTTGGTCCAGTTGTGGCTGGAAGCGGGCTTCTGGATTCTGGCCCTGCATAAATTGAAATAAAACAAGAAGTAGTTACAGCGAGTTACAGGACCACTAGAAGCACCAGACCAATGCATCTCAATGAAGTGGTAAGGGTGTGGTGGTAATGCAAAACATTGCTGTTTCATGTCATACTGACAACCAAAGAGGCGCTTCCCGAGCAACAAAAGTTTCACTTGATCATGTGACATTCAACGTCGCCAAATACAGCTCACAGGGAAGCGTTGGATTCAACGCTTCCCTATGAGAAGCAACTGATTGGCACGCCTCTCTTCCCGAATGTTCCTTTATGTGGAGCAATGGGTTGGACAAACCTCATGGAAGCAAATCTTCAGAAACTATGTCGCGGGAGGAGGAGTTGGCGTGAACTTTTCTCTCTTTCTTTCCCCTCCACCCCCGTAATACAAACATGAATTCCAAATGCCGGTGAGTTCCTTTAACACCAGAAGATACACATTCAAACAAATATTTCAAAAGTGGTTATGGTGATTAGAGAGACCCTTTAAAAAACAGGTACCATACGTTTGCACTACATTTTGAGAAACGGTTATAAATTGCTAATCAAAAGGCTCAATGAGCAGATACTCTGCACAATAATACCTGAGAATTTCCTGCAGCTAAAAGTTGGATCATCTGCTGCATCATTTGTTGCTGGGGATTGCTGCTGCCCCCTGCTGGAGAAGTAGGTGTAGGTGTAGGTGTAGAAGAGGTGGGGATTTCTGAGGTTGTCCCACTCGGTGCCGGAGGTGCCCCAGGGACACCATAGGACCCAAGGCTGGGGAGTAATGAAAACCAGACTATTACAATCATGATCAAATAGTAAAGGCAAGTTTGTAAACAGAGGGACTAATCTTACCTAGTTATCAGGCCAGGGGCCTCTGACTGCAGAGTCTGAAGGCCTTGCTGGATTTGAAGCAGAGCCTGCATTGCTCTGGGATTGGTCATTACGGAAAGAGATTCTGGATTCTGCATCTGCAAAACATGACCTGGTTAATGTATGATTAGCATTTATATAGCACCAACATATGCTGCTGCGCTGTACAATTATAGAAAGGAGGTACTGGAAGTAAACAAACTAACAATCTATGATGATTTGAATTAGGCAGATATATACATTGTTAGGTGTCTTTCCCAGGGACAGTTACTGGCGAGGTGGTCTGCTTGGGATTGGTACATGGGTTACACTCAGATAGAACCTAGAATGAATTTTAAGGAAGTGGCTAAGAGCCCTCACTCAATCATGGCCCTCCCACTGTTCTGAATAGGAGCACAGTGCATCATCCATAACTCGTGCTGTAATTAAGCTATCACGTGATTTTATTTTTTTATTAAATGAATAAACTTCAAAACACCCTCTTCTCACACACAAAAAATACTCAAACCAATAGCATCAACAGCAGTTTCTTTTACCTAACCAAGTAGCTCCCATCGTGATTTTTTATGAATGAAACTTTGAGTAGTTGTTGTGAAAGCTAGCAGGACAGCTTTATAAGTCACTCAGGAGAAGCACTGTGTGGTTGTGTAATGGATCAGCTTGTGATGGGAGTAAGTGGTTAATATGCCTGGTGCTCCTTTAAATTCACAATCACGCGCTTCCATCACAATGGAGCTCAAGCGACACTAGGCAGACAGAAACAGGACTACAGGAACTGTCTGACAAAATGTTTAAAGAACATGGAGGTTTCACAGTGCTACAGAGTGGTAGGCATGTGCTGCCACAGAGTGGTGTATTTAACCTGAACAGGAAAGCAGAAGGATATACATACTTACTGGGCATTGAATAGCAAACTCCCCCACCAAACGTGTCTGTATTGGCCTTTACCACTGTCAGGAGGCAAAATAACGTGCAAACCAGCGTGCTAGGTAATCCCCTATTGAGGACAGCCACTAGAGGCGCATCTGCGACGCTGGAGGCAAATTTTGTCTCCATCGCACAGAGCGTCCATAGGAAAGCATTGAGAAATGCTTTACTATGGACACTTTGAGTGCGCGCGCGCACGCACTTGCCGCGCATGCGCATTCTGCTCCAGGGACGTTGGCGGGGAGGAGAGGTCACCAGCGCCGAGGGAGCCCAGCGCTGGATTTAAGTAAGTAACTGAAGGGGTTTTAACCCCTTAAGCGCCACGTGAGGAGGACCCTGAGGATGGGGGCACCCTCAGGGCACTATAGTGTCAGGAAAACGGCTTTGTTTTCCTGACACTATAGTGATCCTTTAAATAATATTTTGCGATCTTGTAAGTGGGATGGAGTCTTGTGGGTGCACTAGCAGGTATCTCGTGGTGACATGTGAACAATCCCAGGCCTCACACTCCTTACCTGCTGTAGAAAGACTGGCAGCTGGCTTCGCAGTTGCTCTTGCAGTTGAGGATTTCCACTGAAAATTGGATTATTGACCATCATCTGAAATTCAGAAAAATGAAGTCAATAGAATTGCTAATAAATGTTTAATCAGCACAAATTCCAAATGGCTCAAGAGCAAACACTAGGCTCACAGTAAAACGTTTAACCTGTATCATAGTCCGTTTCGCATACCTGAGCAGCAAAGTCAGGATTCTGGGAGAGGGTCTGCATCATGCTTCGCATGTACGGAGCAGAAATCATACTCTGCATCAGCTGGGGGTTCTCAGAGATCTGCTGCAACAGGCCCTGCATCTCCGGACTGCTGAACATACCTGGGGAAGAAATAACAAATATCTACACACATATGCTGACACACTACAACTCCCATCATCCCATAACGCTGGCAAAGCATCAAGGGAGATGTAGTCCACAACATCTCGAGTGCTGAAGGTTTGTTACAACTATTTGGCTCTCCTTAACTATAAAAATTGTATGTAGGGTGCATCCTGCAGCGCTGATCTGATCATATTATCTTCAACAAGAGAAACATCTACAGAGCACAGGCAAGTAAAGCATTAAAAGGGACACTTCGAGCACCAACGCTACAGATTCTGTCAAACCATAAAAAATGCCCAAAATAGCTACACAGAATAGGAGGTTCTAAGAGCTACACAAAATGTAGAGGTTCTGGGCATGAAGAACATAGAGGGGGGAGGGAATGGATACTAAATACTACGTGCAGACAGCATCTTGTTATCATAAAGCCATTCCTTCTAGATCCAGCAGACACTGGAACGGACAGCATTCACAGAGCAGCAATCTAGCAACCAAAAGGTTTACTCCGGCTGCACAGACAAACACTGGGAGAAACACTACTCACAGAATCACCCAGGAACTCACACAGCCTACCTACTGTTTGACTTGAAAGGCTTGGTAGCAGACCCAATTTCCTAGCTCATTCCAGCCATGTCTAGTGGGTTGGCATAACAAGGCAGAGGGCACCCAAGATGACTAAAAAGAGGTCTACCGGGACAGATGCTTTTAGAAACAAGGATTGGCACAAAGCATTTCTAAACAAATCTTTACCTGTTCCCAGATTGGCAGCATTGATGCCAAGTGGGTTTGACACAGTGGGGGTGCTTTGGCTAGTGGTGGTCCCTGCGTTGCTTTCGCTACTGGGCGGGCGAATCTCGGGGCCGGACGATGGACTCCAGGGGTTCGGCAGGGGTTCCCGGTTCTCAGTGCGTAGAGGTTGCGAGGAGGAACCTTCCGAGCCACCAGCCGAGGAAAACGGGTTATTGCTAAACTATGGAATCAAAAAGAGAAAAGGTGAAAAGTGGGAAGTCAGTAGTACGGTGTAGTCTCCTACAAAAACCCCTTACTAGAAGAGGTAGATGCACAAAATAATGCATTCATCGACAGTATGTAAGAAAATATTTATGACCCAAAATGTGCACCATGAGTGGATATAAGCAAACTTAAAAAAGGTAAAATTACCCTTTTTCGTATAAAAATAAATAATCGCCAAATGAAATGTAAATGTATTATATATATAAAAAAACAAAAAAAAACAGCTCCTTCAGCCCTGCGGCAGGGGGTCACTCCAGGAGCCTATAGTGCCAGGAAAACAGGTTTGTTATAGAATCCCTTTAACCCACTAAGGACACATGACATGTCATGATTCCCTTTTATTCCAGAAGTTTGGTCCTTAAAAAGTTAAAAACAGGTTGGAGTTTATTGAATAAACCTGTAGCAGTTTTTTGGGAAAGGTATGAAAAACAAACTCACATTTTGAACTCACAAAAAAATGTAAAAAAAAAATTATATATATTATATGTTTTTTTTTGCCCCTTTGTTGGCTCGCAATGCAAGATGAAATGTATTAAGAAAATTTAATGTTTGGAATATACTTCATTGGACTTTACCTGTACACATATGGGAAGATTTATAGTATCTGAGCATTTGCAAAGTGCTTGACAGTGAGATTACTATGGATGAATACAAAAAGAAACCACAAATAGTGTAATATTGTTTTTAAAAAAAAATTACCTGAATCTAGCACTGATGTCCCTGGGTGCTGGGTCAGGCTCCGCCCACACCCCGCCAACGACAGCCGGCGGGGGAGTCCTAATGCGCATGCGTAGCAATGGCTGCGTGTGCGCATTAGATCTCCCCATAGGAAAGCATTATTCCATGTTTTCTATGGGGAAGATCAGACGCTGGAGGTCACTAAGGGCATCCAGCGTAAGATAACAGACCAAAAGTCAGTTTGGATTCCAGAAGCACCCCCAGTGGCTGTCTGGTAGACAGCCACAGGGGGCAGACTTAGAGCTGCAATGTAAACATTGCAGTTATCTGGAACTACAATGCTATACATTGCAGCACTAAGTGCAAAAGGGTCACAGCACCCAGACTACTTCCATGAGCTGAAGTGGTCTGGGTGCCCACAGTTTCCCTTTAAACACAATTCTGAAATGGCAAAACTGAGGCTAAAATAGTCATACCGTGTCTAAAGCAGAGTTGGAGAATTTGTTCAGATCAGCTATTTTAGCCTTAGTTTTGCCAGTTGAATTTTAATTCACTACAACTCAGTGTATATCCAGAACAAAAAAACAAAGACTTATAGCACCATCACAAAGTCGCAGTGCTTAGAAAGTGTAGAGTACCCCTTTGAACGTCCACAGTTTTTATCAACACAGCTTACATACACCCAAAGATAAAACAAAGATCACTAGATTTATTTAGCATTTTAGAATGATTGGTTATACGCTCTCCCCCTAGTGAGGAACATGCAGTACCGCATGCACAAGTACCTGCTCTCTGGCTACACTGAAGAGTGGCTCTTGGATATCTGTGTACATCCGGCGTAAGGCGTTGTATCCTCCAGGGATGCTTTCCAGATTGCTGAGTGCCCGGTCCTGGTACCTCATCATCTCTTGCATCATGGCAGGGTTACGGGCCAGTTCCATAGTCTGAAACAGCAAGAAGTCAATGACTGCACAAACTGAGAATTCAGTAACAAATTTAAATAAAATAATACTGCTATGGTAATTTACATAGCTAAATAATATCCAAACTGCACAAAAAGAATTTAAAAAAAAGTAAATAAACTGATTTGAGGTGATATTCTATCTTCTTTCATCCAGCAGGCCTTAAGGACAGGGAGTTTCATTCATTAAAAGTAGAATTTACACATTTCACGCTAAAATAAACATACTGGCAGAGAGCCGCATTAGAGATTTCCCCCCCAATTTGGCCCAAATCTTGTAATCTCTGTGTCAGTTCTCTATCATTTTTGGTTTAGTGTAACCTTCAGTCTGATCGCCAACTCCCCTTTTATTGAGGAGAGATATCCACCAGAATTCGATGTATCTGTTCCAAGCATCATTCAGGATTATTGAGTGAGGATTGTCGTGAATTCACGCAGGCGCTAATTAATTTTTCCACTTTGGCTACTTTGCTCTTACATTTGAAGATGTACCTTTAATTATCACTTTAGTAAATAAATCTAGTGAATTTCTGACATATCCGTTTTTATTTTCATAATTATGTAAAGAATTGTTTTTCCTGAATCCAATAAATGCTGATTATAAAAAGAAGTGAGGACTTAATGTTTGCCTTTCTTTGAGTCATTATTCTGTGAGTTTTATTTGACTGGGCTCCTGACAAGTAACATGATGGCACTGAGTTTAGGTATATCTACAGTCCCCACTCTGTGTGTCCACATCCTATCACTGGCACCCAGTCCTATGTTTCCCCATATAACCATTAGATTTTGCTGGCAGAGTGGACGGGAGCCATATACACAACTTTGGGGTTAAACCGTTCATAAATGAAGGTGAGATGGCAACCAGGACCAGGCACAATAGATATTTCATTAAGATGAAGTTGTTATTGTGCTCAGAATATTTACTGAACAAGTTAGAACGCAGTTTGTCAAAAGCACTGAGCTTTTAAACAGACAGATAGACTTAATGATTATGCAAAATAAACCATGCTTAATGAAAGGCTATAGAGTGAAGCCCAATCTAAAGGTGCGGTATAAGTTGCAATAAAGCGATTGTAAAAGAGGGCATATTGCAGAACGGTGAATTAGTACCATTCGATTTACACACCTGCCGCATGAGTTCTGGGTTGTTGAGCATATGACTGATCTCTGGGTTCCTCTCCATCAGCTGCTGCATCTGGGGGTTAGCGATGATCATCTGCCTCATGAGTTCAGGGTTGGCCATCATATTTTGGAGCAAGGGGTTCTCCATGATTTGAGAAAGCATCTCAGGGTTGGACATGAGCTGCCGTTGCATTTGCTGCTGCAGCTCCATAAAGTTAGCAGAGCCCATGCCCAGGTTACCGAGAGCAGACAAACCACCAAACCCAGCTGAAAAAAAAACAATGAAAAAGGAAATGATGGATTGTTCCCCGAACCTTCCCACAGGATCCCCAGGGAACCCGATCAAACATTGAGCTTAGAGTGCCAAATGTACTCACAGAGCAGGTTTACGCCTGGAGGAGAACTGTCCCCAAGATTTGCGCTGCTCCCATTCCCGTCCCCTCTGGGACTCCCCTCATTGGCCTCCGATGCAGTGCTGCTGGAGGAAGGGTGCTGGGAAGGAGCAGCAGGGTTTGATGGTGATGTTGAAGATGTGGAAGCAGCAGTACCAGCAGAAGGAGACACAGCTGGTGGATCCTGCGATCTGCAAAGAGACGGCACTAGTCATTTATCAAATCCAACCAATATAACAAGTCCAAACAAAGCCCACTCATTTTAGACAGAACGATACAAAATGTATAGATTAACTGTATTAGTATCTGAATGTGACTTGCCATCCATACGATCTGCAGGAAACAGCTTCAGATTAAACCACAATATATGTTACTTCAAAGTATGGCAGTGTAACTAACCGTAAAGAGAGATTCAAACCCTGCCCCATATGGCCAGTTTAAGCAGCAATGACTTCAACTGAACATATACAAAGCAGGTAAAAGATCAGCGTTTGCAAAGGATGCCCCCTGTCTCCCCATACACAGTGTATAATATAACTACAACTATAAGGTTATTGTGTAAGGAGGTCCCCTGTCTCCCCGCACACAGTGTATTATAACTGCAGGTATAAGGTTATGGTGTAAGGATGTCCCCTGTCTCCCCGCACAGAGTGTATTATAACTGCAGCTATAAGGTTATGGTGTAAGGATGTCACCTGTCTCCCCACACAGTGTATTATAACTGCAGGTATAAGGTTATGGTGTAAGGATGTCACCTGTCTCCCCGCACACAGTGTATTATAACTGCAGGTATAAGGTTACTGTGTAAGGATGTCCCCTGTCTCCCTGCACACAGTGTATTATAACTGCAGCTATAAGGTTATGGTGTAAGGAGGTCCCCTGTGTCCCAGCACACTGTGTATTATAACTGCTGTTATAAGGTTATGGTGTAAGGAGGTCCCCTGTCTCCCCGCACACAGTGTATTATAACTGCAGCTATAAGGTTATGGTGTAAGGAGGTCCCCTGTCTCCCCGCACACAGTGTATTATAACTGCAGCTATAAGGTTATGGTGTAAGGAGGTCCCCTGTCTCCCCGCACACAGTGTATTATAACTGCAGCTATAAGGTTATGGTGTAAGGAGGTCCCCTGTCTCCCTGCACACAGTGTACTATAACTGCAGCTATAAGGTTATGGTGTAAGGAGGTTCCCTGTCTCCCCGCACACAGTGTGTTATAACTGCAGCTATAAGGTTATGGTGTAAGGAGGTCCCCTGTCTCCCTGCACACAGTGTATTATAACTGCAGCTATAAGGTTATGGTGTAAGGAGGTCCCCTGTCTCCCTGCACACTGTGTATTATAACTGCAGCTATAAGGTTATGGTGTAAGGAGGTCCCCCGTCTCCCTGCACACAGTGTATTATAACTGCAGCTATAAGGTTATGGTGTAAGGAGGTCACCTGTCCTCCTGCACACAGTGTATTATAACTGCAGGTATACGGTTATGGTGTAAGGAGGTCCCCTGTCTCCCCGCACACAGTGTATTATAACTGCAGCTATAAGGTTATGGTGTAAGGAGGTCACCTGTCCTCCTGCACACAGTGTATTATAACTGCAGGTATACGGTTATGGTGTAAGGAGGTCCCCTGTCACCCCGCACACAGTGTATTATAACTGCAGGTATAAGGTTATGGTGTAAGGAGGTCCCCTGTCTCCCCGCACACAGTGTATTATAACTGCAGCTATGAGGTTATGGTGTAAGGAGTCCCCTGTCTCCCTGCACACTGTGTATTATAACTGCAGCTATAAGGTTACTGTGTAAGGAGGTCCCCTGTCTCCCCACACACAGTGTATAATATAACTACGACCATAAGGTTATGGTGTAAGGAGGTGCAATGTCTCCCCGCACACAGTGTATTATAACTACAGTTATAAGGTTATGGGGCAAAGCTGTCCGGAATTTTTACGAGTTATCAAAATATATAGCATATTATAAAGAACCCTCAAACCAGGCATGTCTTGAGACTCCTCCTTGTAGGGTGGCTAATAATTTTAAAACTAAGTGGCTTTTAACCTGGAGTTTGCTGCCTACCTCTACAACTGGTACTGGAGAGTCAGAAGCAGTGCAAGGCTTAGATCAGGCATAGGCAACCTTTGGCACTCCAGATGTTTTGCCAGCATTATGGGTGTAAGAGCATAATGGGGGATGTAGTCCACAACATTTGGAGTGCCGAAGGTTGCCAATCCCTGGCTTAGATAATAGGCTGAGACAATAAGAGGTCTCTGCATTGCAAGCTTCATCCAGGTGAGCTAATGGAATTTTCTGTTTAGAAGTTCCGGCTATGGTGTCTGTTGTGTTCCTTTAAGGATTAAAAGGTGAATTGCTAAATGAACCAAATCAGACATCAGTAGATATTACAATCCAGCCTGTCAGTGGCTCGAACACAAACTTTCAAGGGTAAAATCTTACTTCTGTGGGGTCTTGATCACTAGATGAACGGTAAGCCCATCTTTGATGCCGTGTTGGTTTAGTGTGTCGCCATCTTTTAAGATTTTCCCAGCAAAGATCAGAACCAGCTGATCATGTTTGGCCTTGAACCGTCGGGATATCTCCTCCTTGAACTGCAAAGAAAGACAGTGTAAAATGTAATATTCTAGCACAGCTCCCTCTACTCTAACAGAGAGAGTTAGGCAACCAAGAAATAGAGAACACACAACAGCAGTTTAAAAAGAAAAACATAATAAAATGGCATTTTGGGATTTGGATTTATTGACACACAGTGTTCCTTTCCTTCCTGCTTAATAATATTCAAAGCTCAAGACATAATTAATGAGGTGACTAAGCAAGACTGATACCCCAAGGGTTAAACCTCAAATTACCAAGAGATTAATTATCTCACAGAATCATGGAACACTCCATACTAGAAAATCAGAGTCCAATTGTGACATCTGTCACTTACAGAGACAGTCTAAGCACCAAAATCATATCATCTGAAAAGGATTTGATGCTGGGCTGGTTCTGATAAGATTCTTCCTATTTGCGATTATGCAACAGCCACTCAGGGCTGATCTGGTGTATTGTGCCAATGGCTGCGCATGCACGATGTCTGTGAAAAGCATTTAATTGGACAAAAATAAGGAGTCTGGCTGCAGGAAGGAGTCTGGCTGCAGGAAGGAGTCTGGCTGCAGGAAGGAGTCTGGCTGCAGGAAGGAGTCTGGCTGCAGGAAGGAGTCTGGCTGCAGGAAGGAGTCTGGCTGCAGGAAGGAGTCTGGCTGCAGGAAGGAGTCTATCTCAATGCCGGACTACATGTCATTGTGATTTAAAGAGATATTTATTTTTTAGACTGTTTCTTTAACTACTGCTGGGACAGTCTGATTCGTATAATGAGTTGGTAGGTATTGTCCATCATCTTATATGGGGCATTAAGACAAAGTAACGTTTCTTACAGTACAGCCTTGTCTTGAATTGTAGCAGACAATAGATTGAGTCTTAATCCCTCCCAAGAGACCTATCAATACACTAAATTCTACAGAGAAACGATTTCATCAGAGTTTACTGAACTCCAGCATGAAGCAATCAAGCATGACGAAGTCAGGCAATGGGGAGAAGGTGACAAAGGTTTCTAGTATGCAAAAGCTAAACACACACCTTTCGGAAGCAAGATTTTTTTTTTTGGCCCGGGACCGAGTCGACAATCACAAAATAACGGATGTTGTATTTGATCAGCCAAAAAGACATGATTTAAATGTTTTTTTTTAAATCTATAAGAGAAGTACCTTGGTTTATTTCAATATAAAATAGCCCACAATGCTAAGTACCCGCAATAATGAATGCCATTAAGAAAGCCCTAAAGTAAGGGATGTTGTGATATCTGTTCTTTAAATCTATACGATTCAGTATTGAATCCTAAAGGAAGTGCACCTTGAAGATGATGAGATTACAGATTCATACCACAAGTTCAGAAAGGGTTAAACACGCGTGAATCGTACAGCTCAATACTAAAGGTCTATGAGATAGTAGACTTGTAGCAATATGTCCAGCACGTTATTCATTGCTGGAACCAAGCGACTGGCTCACTGTCAAAGACTAGCTTTAACAAAGCACCAAAACTACTGCTGCTCTATGACATTGCATAGAGCATAGAGAGTGAAGCAGGGAATAAATGATCTGGTCTGTGAGTCATTATAAAAAGGGGGGTACTTCTCAGAGCAGACGTACGGTTTACCTTTATTCTGCAAATATAATGTATTCAGATATCATTCAGCCAATGAAAGCCATCTAAGCTTGGACATATTTCATAGCTAGAGTGGATATATAACTATTGTAATTGCAGTGTATTAAGTGATAGAGCGGGCTACTGGCTCTCCTCAGTTTGTGAAAAAAAACACTCAAAAATATTTTGACAGAAATTCTTGCACCATAAGCACTGCAGGAGGATGTAGTGGTTATGGGTCTTCGAGTGTCCCTTTAAGTACGGTGCGCAGACACACCACGGTTTCCCAAAAGATGGAGAAAGACAGGTGGATTCTTACACAAGGAGTAAGGATGTAACTGACGATGGACATCCTTACGCCCTGCACGAGGACAGCCAGCATCACCCAAAACCCCACAGGTAAACATTATACAATGCTTTCCTATGGGGGAAGTCCTAATGCCATCCCAGCGCATGCACATTAGGTATAGTTTCTCTTTAAGGTGTAGGGAGTTTCTTTTTAAACTCCTGGTAGGGTCTATGTGAATTGAGAATATGAAATATCAGGCCATGTTAGCATATTGTCTATGAAAGGGTTAAAGAGTTAGTCAGGGGTGTGGCGGAGTAGAAAGGGTTAATCCACGATCTTTCCGCTGTTAACCAGGAATCAGTATACAGGACACAGGTAGCGTAGTATAATCCATTTGCCAATGACTAGACGACACATAGTCTGGGAGTCAACTGAGGGCTTTATTGAAAAGTCACCAAATTTATACGGTTTTCCCTGCACAGGGTTTCCAGACTGATTCAGCAGGGATTTTAATCATGTGGACTGTGTGGGAAACGGACCATGCAAGGTCGTTTCCCAGCATCCCCTGCTGTACAGGGACAGTGATGGCATCAGCAGGCACAGATTATTACATTACATTACAGTTGGTACAGAAAAATATAGTATTTTACATTAAAATCCATAACTTGTACAATTTCCCACAAATTTGACCGAATGTCCCCTCATTAGATTGTACACTCAGATCCCTGCAATCTCACGAAGTACTGCTCAGATTCCTGCAGAAATAGCCGAACGCCATACAAAATCCTGTTTAAATTGAACCAGGTCTCAATGAAGAGATTAAACGAAATGAAGCATTTTGGCGAAAGAGCGGACCTCCCGAACGGCCTGGAAGTCCAGCAGTGTTTGGAAATCAAGTGACCGATTTTAGTTCTAGGCACTCGACGACCAAACACCGCTGAACTTTTAGCGAACAAAGATGGCCGCCACCACGTGTTCGGTATACGAACGGCGGCCACACATGAAAACCATTAACATCAATTTGAAACAATGCTGCATTCCGTTAATGAGAGACACACGACCTCCTCGGTGTGGTCTCATTCGGTAGTTAGGGAATTTCCCGAACAGTGTTGTAGATTACTGTTCGGGAAACGGATGCTTTATCCCCATAGCTTAACAATAGGGGATACGGCCATTTTACAGTCCCGGACACAATTTAGAATAAGATAGTCTTTTACAGTCCCTAGTGGCTAGGTTTAACACAAGGGGTGTGATTGGTAAAATCACTACAATATAAAGAGAGAAATAAATGACATTTACTAATCAATCCGTCAACAGCCCAGGGTTGATCCTCTGGCAATTATATGACTGTTCTGGTGAGCGGAGGTTGACTCAGAGTCGCATATCTCCTCAATGCTAACCTGCTGAGAGTGATTCAGGACACTGCAACTGCTTTCCCTTAATGATCTCCTGCTACCATGCTGTTCTATAGAATCTTGTTATCCCTATTGTTCCATTTTAGAGTGACTGCAAACACCATGACCACTGCCTGGACCCCCAGGTATGTCTCAGTGTCTCTACCTCCCCCCAGCCTGGACCCCCAGGTATCTCTCAGTGTCTCTCCTTCCCCAGCCTGGACCCCAGGTATCTCTCAGTGTCTCTCCCCCCCAGCCTTATCTCCCCTCCCTCCCCAGCCTGGACCCCAGGTATCAGGTATCTCTCAGTGTCCTCCCTCCCCAGCCTGGACCCCGGTATCAGTGTCTTCAGCCTGGACCCCCGGCATCTCTCAGTGTCTCTCCTCTCCCTGGCCTGGACCCCCAGTGTCTCTCCCTCCCCCCTTTCAGTGTCTCCCTCCCCAGCCTGGATCCCCAGTGTCTCTCAGTGTCTCTCCTCCCCAGCCTGGACCCCAGGTATCTCAGTGTCTCCCTTCTCCCTGGCCTGGACCCCAGGTATCACTCAGTGTCTCTCCTCCCCAGCCTGGACCCCTGTGTATCTCTCAGTGTCTCTCCCTCTCCTCAGCCAGCCTGGACCCCCAGGCACGCTCTCAGTGTCTCTCCCTCCCCAGCTCTGACCCCAGGTCTCCTCTCCTTCCTCCCCAGCCTGGACCCCTGTATCTCTCAGTGTATTCTCCCACCCCAGTGTCTCTCAGCTCTCCCCAGCCTGGACCCCAGGTATCTCTCTCTCTCAGTGCTCTCCCCCCAGCCTGGACCCCAGGGTGGCCCCGCTATCAGTGTCTCTCCTCTCCCCAGCCTGACCCCCAGGTATCTCTCAGTGTCTCTCCTCCCCCAGCCTGGACCCCTAGGTATCTCAAGTGTCTCCCTCCCCAGCCTGGACCCCCAGGTATCTCTCAGTGTCTCTCCCTCCCCAGCCTGGACCCCAGGTATCTCTCAGTGTTCTCCCTCTCCCCAGCCTGACCCCAGGTATCTCTCAGTGTCTCCCTCCCTCCCCCAGTGTCTCTCCCTCCCCAGCCTGGACCTGGAATGTTTCTCTCAGTCTCTCCAGCCTGGACCCCAGGTATCTCCCTCTCCCAGCCTGGACCCCCAGGTATCTCTCAGTGTCTCTCCCTCCCCCAGGACTGGACCAGTATCCTCTCTCCCCAGCCTGGACCCCAGGTATCTCAGTGACCCCTGTATCTCTCAGTGTCTCCTCCTCCCCCAGCCTGGACCCCCAGGTATCTCTCAGTGTCTCTCCCTCCCCAGCCTGGACCCCAGGTATCTCTCAGTGTCTCTCCTCCCCAGCCTGGACCCCAGGTATCTCTCAGTGTCTCCCTCCCCAGCACAACTAGGTATCTCTCAGTGCTTCCCCAGCCTGACCCCCAGGTATCTCTCATGTCTCTCCCTCCCCAGCCTGGACCCCAGGTATCTCTCAGTGTCTCTCCCTCCCAGCCTGGACCCCAGGTATCTCTCAGTGCTCCTCCCCCCAGCCTGGACCCCCAGGTATCTCTCAGTGCTCTCCTCCCCCAGCCTGGACCCCAGGTATCTCTCAGTGTCTCTCCCTCCCACAGCCTGGACCCCAGGTATCTCTCAGTGTCTCCCTCCTCTCCAGCCTGACCCCCCAGGTATCTCTCTCAGTGTCTCCCCTCTCCCAGCCTGGACCCCCCAGGTATCTCTCAGTGTCTCTCCTCCCCAGCCTGGACCCCCAGGTATCTCTCAGTGTCCCTCCCCCCGTATCGCCGTATATCGGTGTATATCGCTCAGTATCGGTGTATATCGCTGGGTATCGCCGTATATCGCTATATATATCGCGGTATATCGCCGTATCGGCGGTCTCACCTCTCTCACGCACGCCGTGTCGCCGATCTCGATCTCCTCCTTGTCTTTGGGGGTTTTCACGGTGATTCGGATCATGCCTTTCCCCAGCGCCTGCCCGGTGTTAGCCGCAACGTCAGCGCCGCTCTCCGCCATCTTCCCAGCATCCGCCCACCCCGAGAAGGAAGGCGGCAATCCGGAGCCGGGAGTGAGGCACAGCGCCCCCTGCCCGCGGGGAGGAGCCACGAACTGCAGCGTCATCCCTGCCGTCAGCTGACACGGCCAGCCAATCACAGCGCGGCTCCAGACCGAGGCTTGGAACGCACAAACCTGACTGGTTACCGTGACAACAGAACCAACCAATCACCGAGAGAGATTCACTCAGCTGCAACTCACAGCGAGGCTTGAAACGCATGCTAACAGGAAGTGCCAGTAAATCTGGTGTTTGGATTATGATGTGTCTGTGCTGACAGATTATAACATTTATACTCAGTGATAGAGTGTGAGTATTAATAATCACTGAAACTATCCCAGCTCCAAACTGCTGGCCTGAACTACATCTCCCAGCATGCTCCAGCCCACTTCCGGTGAGGCCAGCTTGTGGGATCACATGATAAGGGGGGGGGAGGGGGAGAGTGTGTGGGGTTCACATAGCTGGAGAATGCTGCGACCAAAAGCTCTGACCCAGGTCCTCAGCCAAGCCAATACTGGGGGGGTACAGAGCACTCTGTGAGTATACTGGGGCAGGTACTTCTGTGAGTATACTGTCACTGGGGTAAGAGTATACTGTCACTGTGGGTGCCAGAGCACCTGTGAGTATACTGTCACTGGGGGCAGCAGGCAGTCTGTACTGTGACTGGGGGTACAGAGCTTCTCTGTGAGTATACTGTCACTGGGGGGTACAGAGCACCTGTGAGTATACTGTCACTGGGGGGTACAGAGCACTCTGTGAGTATACTGTCACTGGGGGGGTACAGAGCACTCTGTGAGTATACTGTCACTGGGGTTACACTCTGAGTATACTGTCACTGGGGGGTCACTGGGGTACAGAGCACTCTGTGAGTGCATACTGTCTGTCACTGGGGTATAGTACAGAGCACTCCTGTGAGTATACTGTCACTGGGGTACAGAGCACTCTGTGAGAGTATACTGTCACTGGGGGGGTACAGAGCACTCTGTGAGTATACTGTCACTTGGGGTACAGAGCACTCTGTACTGTCACTGGGGGTACAGAGCACTCTGTGAGTATACTGTCACTGGGGAAAAGTGCTAGAGCACTCTGTGAGTATATCATTGGGGTTACAGAGCTCTGTGAGTATACTGTCACTGGGGTACAGAGGCACTCTGTGAGTATACTGTCACTGGGCACAGCACTCTGTGAGCATACTGTCACTGGGGGGCATAGAGCACTTGTGATATAGCCTGTCACTGGGGGGCAAAGCACTCTGTGAGTATACTGTCACTGTACAGAGCACTCTGTGAGTATACTGTCACTGGGGCAGAGGCTCCTCTGTATACTGTCACTGGGGGGTACAGAGGCACTCTGTGAGTACTCTGTGAGTATATACTGTCACTGGGGGGTACAGAGCACTCTGTGAGTATACTGTCACTGGGGGGGTACAGAGCACTCTGTGAGTATACTGTCACTGGGGGGGTACAGAGCACTCTGTGAGTATACTGTCACTGGGGGGTACAGAGCACTCTGTGAGTATATACTGTCACTGGGGGTACATACCGTCACTGGAGTACACTCTGTGAGTATACTGTCACTGGGGTACAGAGCACTCTGTGAGTAGTCACTTGGGGGTACAGAGCACTCTGTGAGTATACTGTCACTGGGGGTTAAGCTGAGCACTCTGTATACTGTCACTGGGGGTACAGAGCACTCTGTGATATACTGTCACTGGGGGGCATGAGCACTCTGTGAGTATACTGTCACTGGGGGTACAGAGCACTCTGTGAGTATACTGTCACTGTATAGTGGGGGGTACAGAGCACTCTGTGAGTATACTGTCACTGGGGGAGCATGAGCACTCTGTGAGTATATACTGTCACTAAAGCAGACACTCTGTGAGTATACTGTCACTGTCACTGTGAGGTCACACAGAGCACTCTGTGAGTATACTGTCACTACAGAGCACTCTGTGAGTATACTGTCACTGGGGGTACAGAGCACCTGTGAGTATACTGTGGGGTACACACTCTGGGGGGGTACATAGAGCAGAGCACTGGGGGGGTACAGAGCACTCTGTGAGTATATACTGGGGTACAGTCACTGGGGGGGTACAGAGGCACTCTAGAGTATACTGTCACTGGGGGTGTGAGTATACAGGGGTAGCACTCCAGAGTGGGGGTACAGAGCACTCTGTGAGTATACTGTCACTGGGGGGGGGTACAGAGCACTCTGTGAGTATACTGTCACTGGGGGGCGGGGGTGTTTTCCATAAACCTTTCTCCAAATCATAAAACAAATTACGTGTTTGATAACATTCTGTTGCTGGATATTTGACACCTGGACGGCAGCTGATGACTTGCTAACAGAATAATTATAATCTCGGTGTTGTGGTGCCATCATCTGTTTACATCTAGTAATCAGTCATTCCAAAAAGGTTAATACACAAAGTAATCCTAACTTGGATTCAAGGTGAACTCCCACTTTCATGCCCCCAAATTGCATACTGTGGGCATGTTAGGCTGCAGTACAGTAGTGTACACTATTTGTATGATGGCAAGCTGCTTGGCGCTCTATTTACGTGTTTTATTTTCCTGTCCTCCAGACTGCTGAACAATGAAGGCTCTTTACTTGCATATTCTGGTTATGGTGACACAGATGCCAGAGTTACAGCTGCTATTGCTAGCAACATTTGGGCTGCCTATGATAAAAACGGACATCAGGCATTCAACGAGGACAATCTTAAATTCATCCTTATGGACTGCATGGTAAGTGTCTATACTTAGCCTGGAGTTTTAACCCATTAATGCCACAAGTCCTTATAAAGGCATGCTATATGGAGTGTCAGGAGACTTGTCCCTGCAGGTGTCTACAAGGTAATTGTAAGGAAACCAAGTACATGTAAACCTTAATCGGTAGTTTCCTTCCGAACAGCCAGAGCCCAGTGAATATAGCCCTCCGTTCAGTATTTATAGTAGACAAATTCCCAATTGTAAATCCAATAGTGTTCCTGGATAATTCCCACAGTAAAACACACGAACTCCCAAACAGCATACGTAGTCAGAATAAGGGTACAAAGATGAACTGAGGTTTAATGACAGGCATGCTCTTTTTATGGGATTCAGCCCATGCAAGGGAGCCCCCCATATAATTATCCATACATCCAATCCTAACAATATACATACTGTACATCTCCTCCCCTCAGATAACCATTAAACACAATTAAAACGTAACAGAATTTCCCCAAAGTTTGGATGTACCCGAAGGACTTGGGTGTCCTCAGATAGCTATTGTCTGGGAGACCAACATATTAAAATCTCAGGCCATTCGGTTCAGCCGTTCGGGAGATATAGGACTTAGAAGTTTTGACCGACTGCACGGGCAAAGTAGCCGAAAACAGTTCCATGAATTCTGGCCCTGCAGTCGGTCTTAGATCGCATGAAAAACCTCCCGAACGGCCGGCCATCCAGCTACCATCCTTGGTTCGCTGGTTCCCCATCTGTTGGTAAGTCTTTCTACCGAACGCCCGGTCGTTCGGTAGTTTGGAAGGGGTTTTACCGAAGGTCTGGAGGCTTCAGCGGTGTTCGCCTGTTTGAGTGTCCGTTTCCAGTTCCAGACATTCAAGGGCAAACACCGCTGTTCAGGAGCTAAAATGGCCGCGAACACGAGGAAGTCCCGAAATGGCGGCGAGACCTGCCGTTCGTGCAGAACTTCTGTCGAACGTAATCCAGCCAGCAAGGGGGGTATAGTCTGTATAAAGGGGTGACAGGGGGGTCTGCATTCGGTAGTTTTACCTACCGAATGTCATAGGGAAACATTGCTATTGACACAAATACAAAGAGTGCATATACAGTTAAAAAAAAGGCATTTTTTCACAGTAGTATGGTAGGGTCAGGACTGTCAGAATAAAGATTCACAATGGTTAATCACTTCTCTCACCTTTCAGGAAGGCCGTGTGGCAATCACAAGAGTGTCTAACTTGCTGCTGTGCATGTATGCCAAGGAGTCTGTTGGGTTTGGAATGTTGAAAGCCAAGGTAAGCTATACCAGGGTGCGGGCACAGAATGTAACAATAGGGTGTTTAATTAAAATAGCTGTGCACGGCGGGATAGTCTAGGCACCATAGCCACTACAAATCACTGTAGTGATAATGGCACAAGGAGTCTCCTGGCACCATTCATTAGGAAAGAGTCAAGTGATCCTATTGTCTCTGGCCTCCACTTCTGATCGAATTCATAGGCTGAGGGTATCAAATGTTCTCAGCCAATAAATGTTATCTTAATATGGATGAAAAATAAATATGTTTCCAAAGGGGAACTTCCTCTATATAGATATCTCTGAAAAGGAGGTCAGACTGGAATCAGCTGGTGGACTCATCAAGGTAGATGACAAACTGTTTGAAAATGGTTTGACTCTTTTCTGGGCAGGATGCAGAAGGAAACTCCAATGGGGGTGTGTTTTTTTTGTTTTGTTTTTTCTTTTTGGTGGGAAGGGAGAGTAGGGGGTTACCTAGTCTGCCAGTTATAAGGTCAGTTGAGTCCTTTAAAAAAAAAAACAATAGAGATGAGAGCCGCACATTAAACAAAATATAGAGCCTCCCCTATTCTTTCTATTCCTCCTATCCTGAAATAATACTTTAAAGGGTGTAGTGGAGTAGTAGTATTATTCACGGTATCTCCGATGGAAGACAGAGTGAAGCAGGTAAAATGTAGGCAAAATGCAGGTAGCGTAGGTACAATCCCTTTCTCCCAAGAACTAGACTACACATAGCTTGGAGGTCAACTGAGAGCTTTAATGAAACAATCCCCAATTTTTGTGATTTTACTGTACAGGCTTTCCAGCAGGGGTTTTAATCAGTTGGACTGTGTGGGAAACTGACCATGCAAGGTTGTTTCCCAGCAGCCCCTGCTGTACAGGCACCAAGATGACATCAGCAAGTACAGATAATTACATTACCAGTGGTCACAGTAATATGCCATATTTTACATTAAAATCTATAATTCTCACAATTTCCCACCGATTTGTGTGAATGACCTTTCAACCGAATGCAGGGATCGGCAGGTACAATATACCGAAGTACTGTTCTGATTCCTGCAGAATTAACCGAACGCCGCTCATAATATACACTTACACAAACTGGGGTTTAGAAGAGAAAACTCCTGAATATCTTTATTTCCCCAAAGGAGCGAATCTCCCGAACGCTATGGAAGTCCAGCGGTGTTTGGAAATCAAGTGGCTTATTTCAGTTCCAGGCACTCGACGACCAAACACTGCTGAACTCTAACAAAGCAAAGATGGCCGCCGCCACGTGTTCGCTACTCGATCGGCGGCCACACACAGAAAGCCCATTAACGGCTAGATACAATGTTGCAACCTCACTAATGAGCGGCACACGACCTACTGGGGTGGTCTCCCGTTCGGTCCTTAGTTCGTTTCACGAACAGTGTAGGAATCCACTGTTCGTGAAACTGGCAATATAATGTTAGCGGCATTCGTGTGCTGTAAGCACATGAATGCAGAAGATAAACCTGAATGCTTTTATATACAGCTCTCTTAACAGTGGTGGGTTTTTCCCCCACAGATAAACATAGTGTATATATATGAAGACATTCTATAAGTGGCTAGGTTTGCCACAAAGGGGTACTGTCCATCACTACTGTAAGCTCTACATGTTTCTTACACATTCTTAAACATTTGGTTTTATGTTAAACATGTAACGACATTACTAATTGGTGACCTATGGAATTTTTGGATGTGGTGGCAATTTTCTGACATAGAATGTCTTGCTGAGCTAGCATTAGTAAGGTTCTGTTGACTGGTGATAAATGGGTAGTTCAGATCATGCTGATATAAACTGTCCTTTACAACAAAGATTAAAAGATTAATGTTCTTAGCTTTTCTTGAAACTCCTGTTAAACTGCTAGACAAGTAAACAAGGGATGTCATTTTTATACTGGAGGAAAAAAAACTTTAAAAAAAAAAAGGACATGTATACACCAGGCAGCCGAAGTACAAAGGTTTAATGTGTGTCAATTCTCCGGCTGTGCATGTTCGGAGAGCTCTATAACTACTCAACAGATTCAGGTGCAGACCCAGAACTTTGCCTGACCTTTTAATTCCCACTGTTTGAGGAGGATATAAAACCGTGTGATAACGGGAAGAATAGCATCTCTTTAACACTGGACTTTTTGCTTTGTTCTTAGGCCCAAGCCTTAGTGCATTACCTGGAGGAACCCCTGAACCAGGTCTCCGCTTCCTAGGAGCGGCCGTAGGATCTGGAAAACGACAAAATAAATGCAAAACCAAGAACAAGGGTTAACGCAAACCGTTCTCTGGAGAATGCAGTAATCTGGTGTCGACAGATGAGACGCTCATTACAGCACTTCATTCCTAAAATTGATCGGCTTCTGAGTGAAACCCATCTGCAAGCTCCCTTCCTTGCTATTGCTCTGTGTCTTTGTTGCTGGTGATTCATGTAATTGGCTTCTGATCTCTTTGGTTAACTTCCAAGTCTGAACCTCAGTCTGTAGAAAGCCAAGAATTCCTAAAGATTTAAAATATAAAAAAAAAAAAAGTATGATGTATGAGTCTGTATAAACCTTTTCAGAGACATCCAGCTAGATTTTTGGGATGGTAATCTTAAATTTTATAGCCCAATTATGCCAATAATGGAAGTACCTCCTGTTAGGAAGCTCACTTTATGTGGGTTACAAAAGCAATCACCCTCTATGGCTCTAAGATTTGATAGATAACAGTGTACAGCATCTGTCATTGCATGTAATTTCCAACAGGAAGTAGGATACATTATGTACAGTCTGCACTTCCTGTTGCATCTTTAAGCAACGTCCTGCTGAGAACATGTATCTTGTAATGGAAAAAGGCCTCCGTGATTGATAAATAAATATTGCATTATACAATTGCTGGACTGTGATAACGTGCACTAGTGATTGTCACGGACTATAGGAGAGGCCTGCATTTGGTACAACGCTTATTCTGTCTTCTGCTGTGTAGTCGGTATGCTGTCCATTAAACTAGGATATTGCCAGCAAAGCATTCTCCCTCCTAAATCTATCTGCCTCACAGACTTGTATTTTAAAAATGCCTTATTCACAAAATGAACCCACCCCAGTCATCCAACTCCTTTTGGAACTGGGAATATTATTTGGTAAACGTATGTCCATTAAACACGCCTAGAAACACCGCCAAGAAATCAATGGCTGTTGAATATCTTCATTCAGTATAATTTGGTAAGATCTAATTGCACCTAGGAAACAACTTATCTGAAGTTTTTTTTTTTTTTTTTTCGTAAAATGTTTAATATATTTTTTGTGTGTGTGTGTTAAATTTCATATGTGCAAGAATCCCATGCTTATTTGACTAAATAAAATTCACACTTCTATTTATTTCTGCCTAAAGAAATGTATGCTCGTAAATTGGCAAAATGGACTTCTGTAAATGTTGAATTGAATCTTTTTCGATTTTGTTCCTTTGCTGTCGTGCATTGTTGGTTCCCACTGACAGCCAGGGGTTAAAGAGATAAAAATAAAAGGTTTGTATTGTGTAACAGTGCATGCAGTGGGTCCTTATTAGGAAGCACAAAACCCTAACACAAGTTGACTCTTCGATTCTCATATCTACATAAAGAAAGAAGAGAGGCAGAGAATGCAATGTTTTATAACAATGGAATACTAAAGAAATATATGTATAAGATAAAACTTAACTTGTAACCCCTTAGTGACCGGGCCATTTTTCAGTTTTATTACCGTTAAGAACCAGGGCTCTTTTTCTGCAGTGGTTGTGTTTAGATGTAATTTGCCTCTTACACATTTACTGTACCCATACATATTATATACCATTTTCCTCGCTATTAAATGTTCATTATAAAGATACCATTATTTTCATCATATCATATAATTTATTAGAATAAAAAAAGTAAAATATGATGAAAAATAAAACACAGCTGGCCATCATGCACCCATGTCCCAGTTGGAACATTTCTGAAGCCGGCCAATGTAATTCACCTCCGTCAAACCGTAAGTTTTTGAAAAGTACACACCCTAGGGCATTTCACATGGTGGCATTTCAACACTTTACATGCACTAATTCTACCACCAGTCTCTGTCAAACGTTTTTGTGATGTTATTTTTCACTCACACATTCTACTTTGAGCATAGATTCTCAGCTCCTGTTAGGTGTTACTGCCAAAGGACACCCCAATATGTGTTCGGCAACATCTCCCGAGTACAGCGATACCACCCATGCATACGTGTGTCGGGTTCACTGGGGGGTGCAAAGCAAAATGTCTGATATGCGTTTTTCCAATTTTACATATCTTGTTTGCCTATCTTTCTTTTGGGGACCTTATCAGATATCCCAATGTATTTTCTTGCCATGAGCGTGCATATATTTGAAAAGTTGACACCCCGCAGTATTGTATGTGGAGTGTTTTGATGCCTTAGATGCAATCATTTTAGTCAAAAAAAGTTGAACGTGTGTGAAGGTAACTGTTCAATCCTCATTTTTACACAAGCACACTGCTTTTTGACTGTGATTTAGGAGAGCCCGTTGTTGGTTATTGCAAGAAAACACCCCAGGTTGTTTTCTTCAAGGCCTCCTTAGGACACCCATGCGCCCCATGCATAGGTTTGCCAGGATTTTGGGAAGGTACAGTTACAATTGTATGACTTGCAATTTGAGTTGTAATTGAGAGTATTTCTTCTGATAGGCCTATCTTTAGCTTGGGGTTTATCACATACCCCAGCTTTATAGATCGCCATGAAAGGGTACATACTTGAAACGTAGACACCCCGAGGTATTGCATGTGGAGTGGGTAATCAGGGGGCGATTTTATACAGCCTGTCAAACTGGGGATGCTCCCTAGGGGGGGGACAGGCTGTTGTCGCTGAAGTGCATGAAATGCCGAATCATTTCATACCTCTTCCTCGACATACATTGGGAGTAAATGGGGGTAGAGCAGATGGGGCTACTGCTCCAGTAGGAGCGGATGGAGGGCTTCTTTATGATGCCCATCAGCATAGTCAATGCCCAGAATCTTTTAAATTCTGGCACATCAATGGGGGCCCATTGCTGCTTTGCCAAAAAAGAGTCAGGATTTGTAGCTCGGAATTGATGGGCATATAAATTAGTTTGGGTGACAATGTTCCCTAATACATCATTGCCCAGAAACCCCTCCATAAACTGCTGAGGGCTAAATCCTGTGACATCCAAATTAATGCCAGGATTTGCAGTAAAGGATGGGATGTCTGGCCTCTGGTGATGAGGCACTACCCACTCCTCAGCAGTTCTGCCAGCTGTAGCAGCACGTCTCCTTCGGGCAGGGGGACTAGCAGGCACAGATACAACATCACTAGCAGCAGACACTGTATCTAGTGATGATGTATCTGAGCACCTGGCTGGGTCAAAATCAGGGTCAGAGTCTGACTTAGACAGGTCAGACTCTAGCGCAAGGGTGGCATATGACTGCTCAGCGCTGGTTGACTTCCGTGACCCATGTGACATGATCACAATCACTTTACTTAGTGACCTGTCACAAAAATAAATAAAAATAACCCCTAAAAAAAAAATGAACAGACAGCAAAATAAGTGCTGCTGTGCATGAGCCTGCAATCTGTATAGTGATCACTGGCAGGACAGGGGTTAATCATTCTGAAAAGAGCTTTTGGGTCTCAAAAAAAAAAATCACACAAAAGTGCTGCTGTGCAAGAGCCAGTGATTATAGTGATCACTGGCAAGACAGGGGTTAATGGCTCTGAAAAGAGCCTTTGGGTCTCAATATTTTACAAATCCCTACCTAAATACCTAAATCTCTCTAGCTAAACCACAGATCTCTCTCCTTCTCTCACTAAAACACAAGTGAAGAAAGGGAGGCAGATCCACACGAATCAGAGAAATGGGGAACACACTTGGGATGAATTGCTAATGGGGCAAGCTGTGATTGGATGACCCCAGCCTGCCCCTTATGATGCGGCATGCTAGGGACACCCCCAGAAGCCCCCATGATCCACTGCCTTTAGAAAGGAGGGGGGGAGGGAGTAATATTGATTATTTTATATAATTTTTTTTATATATATATTATTATTTATTCGCAGAGTGCCTGGACCCCTCGAGGCACTCAGCACATGCAGAGCATCTCTGCAATACTATCACAGCTTCCAGCGCTCAAAATAGCTGCGGATGTACCAGGTACGTCCAAGGTCATTATGGACCGTTTTTTCCCAGACGTACCTGATACGTCCGCGGGTGGGAAGGGGTTAATAAAAGTCTCTAAATTTCTAAAAGGTCCCAATAGACAGAAGAGGCTGACTACAGCATACAACTAATAGTACTGCATACACATGGACTTAACAAAAAAAATATATATAATAAATAAAAATAGTGGAGGCTGGTCCACATCAGAAAAAATAGTAGTATCACCAAAAAACCCAACATAAATCACTAAATCTTTTCCTTCTCTCCCCTCACCCTACCCTGTAACATATTTGTCATTATAGTTATATATTATTGTTATATATTATTGTTATATTGTTATATATTATTGTTATATATTATTGTTATATTGTTATATATTATTGTTATATAGTTATATATTATTGTTATATATTATTGTTATTGTTATATATTATTGTTATATAGTTATATATTATTGTTATATATTATTGTTATATTGTTGTTATATATTATTGTTATAGTTATATATTATTGTTATAGTTATATATTATTGTTATATTGTTATATATTATTGTTATAGTTATAGTTATATATTATAGTTATATATTATTGTTATATTGTTGTTATATATTATTGTTATAGTTATATATTGTTATATTGTTATATATTATTGTTATATTGTTGTTATATGTTAGTTATATATTATTGTTATATTGTTATATATTATTGTTATAGTTATAGTTATATATTATAGTTATATATTATTGTTATATTGTTGTTATATATTATTGTTATAGTTATATATTATTGTTATATTGTTATATATTATTGTTATAGTTATAGTTATATATTATAGTTATATATTATTGTTATATTGTTGTTATATATTATTGTTATAGTTATATATTATTGTTATATTGTTATATATTATTGTTATATATTATTGTTATAGTTATATATTATTGTTATATTGTTATATATTATTGTTATAGTTATAGTTATATATTATAGTTATATATTATTGTTATATTGTTGTTATATATTATTGTTATATTGTTATATATTATTGTTTGTTATAGTTATATATTATTGTTATATTGTTATATATTATTGTTATATATAACATTATTGTTATATAGTTCCTTTTTTCCTCCATTCTCAGATATTTCATTTAACAGTCAGTTATATCTTCCTACCATAGAAGCTGACAGATACTTTTTGCCAAATCTTTGGTTACATTCTTGCAGCTCTCCAGATACATAGTTGCCACAGAAATGCCAGAGATTCTCTCTCCTTGTTCTGTTTACTATCTAGTTAGTATTCACCAATTTTTTGTCAGCTGACACTCTGATACTATACCATCTAACTGACACACCATTTAGTGATTTTTTTGGTGATACTTAATACTATTTTTTCTGCAGTGTGGACCAGCCTTCACTATTTTTATTTATTTATTTATTATATATATATATATTTTGTTATGTCCATGTGTATGTAGTACTATTAGTTGTGTGTTGTAGTCGGTCCCTTCTGTCTATTGGGACCTTTTAGAGATTTAGACTTTTATTAAAAGTTAAGTTTTATCTAATACATATATTTCTTTAGTATTCTATTGTTATATTACATTGCATTCTCCGCCTCTCTTCTTTCTTCATGTAAACAGGAGGTATGCATAGGCAATAATTATTGTCAGTTCTTTTTCCTTTTTTTCCTCTACTTTTCTTTCTTTTCGTAGTCTCATATCTACATAAACTCATACTGACCTTGTCTCCTTCTTTCCATAGACGCCTCCTAACTTGTGTACAGTATCCCGTCTAATCAAAAAACACCCCCTTTGCTTTCTGCAATGCCCTTTGGCTGAAATAAACTATACTATACAGAACAAATTAAAGCTTTTAAAGCTGTTTGAATTTGGCCATTTTATAGAGCAGAGCTGGGCTAGATTCTCCCAACATGATTTTAGATGCTTACTGAGGTTTTTATGGCTTTTGCCTTTTTTAGAGAGCCATCAAAGTTAAGTCTGGACTCCAATACTACTTTATTGCATTTTATAGGTTTTAGTCTTCCAAAGATGCTGGTTTTGGTTTTTTTTTGCGTGCTTCTATTTATACTTTTTTGCCTTAAAAAAAGTTTATTTTTTTTCTGTTATTTTTTTTCCTGAATGCTGCATCATAAACCTGCCTCTTTAGCCACGCCCCCTCACACCAAAAAGACTTCCTTATCAAACGTATGTACACCGCTCAGCCACTGACTGCACTGAATGATCTGAACAAATAAGCAGCTTCCATTAGTGGACACGCAGAGCGACGTATAGCAAGGATATTACTACCTGTTCAGAGTTTGTCTGCAGCCAGCTTGTAAATGAAAATCTGTTATCTCTGTGCTGTTGGGGCTGACACTGTGGCTCCATTGAAGATTTAATGGCATAAGTGCGTGGCTAAGGAGGCCGGCTTATAGTGCAGTATTCAGCAAAAAGTGTATTTTTGCACCAAAACAAAAAAACGAACCAATAAATATTTAAACATGCAGAAAATTACAGCATATTAATGAGGCTAAAATCCACTGAATGCATTAAAGTTGGATTGGTGCCCAGAATGCCCCTTAAAACTAATATTTAGAGGGTGATGCTATCATTTTCTGTCATCAATGGTACATTCAGGCAAACTGCGCAGTTGGAAAGAGACAGCTAGGGGTGTGAATTATGTATAGCTAACTTCCTTATGGGCAGGGGGTCATGGCAGTCACATCATAAGAGCGGTTTAACAGCCGTTTCCTTTCCTCTGCATAGTGGAATGCTGGTATATGGGTGCAGACATCATACATTCCTAGAACCTGTTGGCTTTTTTCCTGTACATTTAAAGAAACTCCAGACCCCTATATCACCGTAGCTTGCTGAAATGCTTTCTGTGTGGGTTTGGTCTATTTTATTTTTTTTTTTGTCCATCTTACAAAGTGCAGATTTCAATACAAATTGGCACTTTTATAAATGAGCCTAGTTACACCACATTGGCAAATAAAACACCTTTTTTGCACTTGCCTGATTCCAACACTGAGATTCCTCTGCACTAGATCAGACTACCTCTCTGCTGACGTCATGGCGAACCGGAAACCTAATGGGCATCTGTTACGAAAACTGATATAGTGGATACCGTGTTCGCCTATTCCTTTCCGAACTGCTGAGCCTGAGTGATTATAGCTGCAGTTCAGGTGTACATACAAATAGGTTTAGACGAATGCAGCTTCCAGGTAGTTTCTCCTCAGCAAGTAGACAGTTACCCAAACATGAGCATAGACTTCATGAAGGGTAAACCAGGAATGAATTTTAATGGTGCCACACTGGCTTTTATGCAAGTCCCCATGCAAGGGGCACTCCCCCATGGACCTTGTGGGGGACAGGGACACAAAGTTTACAACCAATATTATTACAGTGACAAAGATGAACACTCCCAGTGCAAACAGACAATCCCCTCCTCTCTGCCTGTGAGATACGTATGTACTCGAGTATAAGATGAGTTTTTCGGCACATTTTTTGTGCTGAAAACCCCCCACTCGTCTTATACTCGAGTCACTGTCTGTATTATGGCAACTTACATTGCCATAATACAGACCAGGACCGCCGGGCTCATTACAAACCCAGCGGTCCTGTTGGGGGCTGGCAGCGAGCGGTTACTTACCTTTCCTGCAGCTCCTGTCAGCTCCCTTCTCTCTCCTCCAGTCCGGTCAGCTCCCCTGTCAGCTCCACTGCAAGTCTCGCGAGAGCCACGGTGTCAGAGCATTGCCACGGGTTACTCAGACCGTGAGACAGTGGAGCTGACCGGACCGGAGGAGAGAGAAGGGAGTTGACAGGAGCTGCAGGAAGGTAAGTAACAGCTCGCTGCTAGCCCCCAACAGGCCCGGCGGTCCTGGTCTGTGTTATGGCAATGTAAGTTGCCATAATACAGACAGTGACTCGAGTATAAGACGAGTGGGAAAGGTAAGTAACAGCTCTCTGCCAGCCCTCCTCCTACACAGCCCATCCACTGGACCACCAGGGAATGAGAGTCCCCCTCCCTGGCCAGATAACAAGCAGAGAGGGGGGACAAAAATAAATAAATACAAAATTTAATTATATTAAAATAAAAATATTAATAATATTAAAAATAATAAAATAAAAATAAAATATTAACAATATAACAAAAATAATAAAATATTAAAATAATAATAATAATTAAAAAAATAATAATAAAAATGCCCACCCCCCACCAAGGCTCTGCATTACATACACAAACACACTCTGCACTCATACACACACACTGCACTCATACACACACACACCACATTCATACAAACAGACTGCATTCATACACAGGGGGCTTTAACCCTACAAAGTAAACATTACAGGCTCTATATAACTAATGATTTACATGGCAGGGTTCAAATGACAGGACCACTTCTTTGAGATGCAGTGGTCTGGGTGACTTTAGTGGACCTTTATTACACAGGGCATACAAACACAGGCCCCAGACAGTACACATACTCTCATTGAATTGTAATTTTTTATTTACTTTAATTAATTTCATCCAAATTAGTACCATCAAATGATTTGTTTTTTTAAATTTGCTATTACAAATTCATATTTCAATAGATGCCAGTCTCGACATATCACACCAGATACAATGTCTAAGGCCCCACTTGCCAGAAACTGGTTAATAGTTCACCTGTCCATTACCACACCCAGGTAATTACATTTTTCAGGTAGCCCTGCCCTCTGCTACCTGTTCAACCTGAAAATCGACACCTATCCAAACAAAGCAGCTTGGGAAAGAAGGAAGTGCCAGAACGCCCACTGAGTCACTGCACCCCTCTCTACCTGAATAACGCGCACCTATCCCACTGTCCCAAGTGCCCACAGTATGCGTAGAATCCCTCTTGACAGCAGGAACTGAGAACACAACTGGCAGCAGCCAGATATTTAGCCTAGCTCTTCAACACAGGGAGAGAAGAGGTCAGGAACCAGGGATCAATGTGCACAGAGAGACATGAATTCAGGAGACGACGAATATAATTTTGTGTTCAAAGGTACGTCTTCTTCTTCTGGCAATATATTTAATGTGGGTCTTGCAAAGAAATCTGTTCCAGGACCCTCCGGTGTGCAGTTAAGGGGGCACTCACACTTTATTTGCAGGTGAAGAGTTAATTATGCTGGGTGGGTTACTTATTATTCTCTTAAGATTTAGCGCACACCCATTCTGTCATTCCTTACCAAACTAGGAGGAGAGTATATTTTAAAAGAAGAAAAACTACCATAACAAGAGGACATAGTCTTAAATTGGGATAAAGGTTTAAAAATATCAGAAAGTATTACTTTACTGAGAGGGTAGTGGATGCATGGAATAGCCTTCCAGCTGAAGTGGTAGAGGTTAACACAGTGAGGGAGTTTAAGCATGCGTGGGATAGGCATAAGGCTATCCTAACTATAAGATAAGGCCAGGGACTAATGAAAGTATTTAGAAAATTGGGCAGACTAGATGGGCCGAATGGTTCTTATCTGCCATCACATTCTATGTTTAAATTATCGTCCCATCTTTGCTGCAGTAAGACTGTGGATGTCATGGTTTAGGTCTCAGTGAGTTATAATTCAGCGATTTGCTATCTACAAGTGGAAAGCTGACAACTGAACTACAACTCCCAAAAATCTCTAATGTGCCATAAAACAGTTAGATAAGCTAGTTTTTTTTTTATTTTTTAATAAAATTCCAGTACAGTCGTAAGATGTGTGTGAAGTAGCAATGTATGATCTAATTTATCTCATGTAAATGCAGATTTATGGCAAAATGTGGAAAAGGGTGAAGCATCAAGCAACCTCCGCCTTCACATTGTGCCATTTCCCATCAGCCATCGTCGGTAGGACCAAAACCAGGTGTTTTATACCACTCTAGCATCTCATTGCACTGGCGCAAGATCACCTTTGGAAACACCAATGATGTGATCTCCTGGTAGATGCCTCTATGAGATGAAGACAGAATGTGGTGGTGCTGAGCGGAGAGGTACACATAACTATATTGTCCTCTCCTGCTCCCCCTGGTCACAACCATGAAAGGAGACAGGTCACCAGGGGGTCCTCGTAACAAATGCAAAAACCCCACGAGTAGCAGTTCACCTTTAATGGTCCTAAATAAAGTTACATGGGCAGAGTCATTGGCAGAGTCACTTCCTGGTTTGGTCAGCCCTTACTGTAGAAGCTGCAAAAGCTAAGGTCCTGCAGCAAATGCTGGAGCTTCAAATCTGAGCGCATATTTATTTTAATTTTATTTTTCTCAAATGGATTTTTAATGCATTATATAATGCATCAAAATAACGGATCGTCTGTTTTGAACTCTGGTGTTTAAGTGGATCCAGGGTCCGTTTACAATTTACAATAAGTTGATGCATTGTTTAGTAATGCAACGAGGCCTAGCTATTCTCAAACAAGGAGTTCATTATTCAGAAAGTTTAAGATTTGCAACTTTATCAGATCACACATCAAGACGGAGTTGAGGAAAAAAAAAACAGCTTTTGTACATTTCCCCACGTCCCTTCACCACACCTTCACTGCACGTCATATATTGCTTTATGAATCAATGCTGTTTCAGGAGACCTTCCCATAGCTGTGGGTTGTATGCAGTTACATATAATTAAACACAGGCTGACACTTTAATCACATGTTAATGTTGCAAGAGACTCTAAAAGCCGTAACAGCTCATTTTCCTAACTGTTATTTAACTACAACTCTCAAGATTCTTAGCCAACCAAGAGGTAGCTGAGGATCATGGTAGTTATTCAGGTACCGGGTTTATTCTGTGCGATGTCCTCAGAAATAGGGCTATGTATTAATTTTTTTTTTTTTATAGGGATTTTCCAGTTTGCGTCTTTTCCCTTGTATGTGCAAACATATTTCATTCAAAATGCATAAACAAAAAGAGGTACAAGCGTTCGCCTTTTCGGACAAATGTTTCCACCAACGCCGGTGTGACTATTTTCTGAGATTGGTACCTATCTTGCATGGTCTTCCTTTTTGCTTAAGGAATAAATATCCTTCAGATTACAAATATAGTTAGATTATAACTTGTTTTATTTTGTGAGTATACTCACGAAATCTCAGGGTAAGAAAAAAGTGCAAATTTTCTTGAAGAGGAACAAAATGTGGCAAAATGATAGTTTATTAGTGAAAAGGCAGGGAAAAGTCTCCATTGTTTAACTTTAGAGTATTTGTTTTATACATAAGGAAAAAGGTGCGTGCGCGCAAAACCAGTGCGAAAATGTTTCTATATAACCTACAATATGTCTGATAGCAGCTGAAGACTGACTGCAAGGTAATAGTTACACAGCTAATGGTCCGCACCCGTACGGCCAACCCACGCTTGCAGGACTTCTCGCGGGCGGCTCCCTTCCTATGGAATAGCCTGCCTACCGCCATCAGACTCTCCCCTAGTCTTGCATCTTTTAAGAAGTGCCTTAAAACCCATCTCTTTAGGAAAGCTTATGGCCTCCAAGACTAACCTCTACCTCACATACCTGTCTCTTGCTCTCTCCTAAAGGGCAGCCCACCTTATTTGACTGCAAATTCCTGTCCTAATGTGTTTTACACCCCACCTCCTATAGAATGTAAGCTTGATTGAGCAGGGTCCTCTTCAACCTATTGTTCCCATAAGTTGTGTTTTTTGTTTTTTTTTTTTTGTTTTTTTTTTGTAATTGTCCTATTTATAGTTAAATCCCCCCTCTCATAATATTGTAAAGCGCTGCGGAATCTGTTGGCGTTATATAAATGGCAATAATAATAAAAACACTTTGTTCCTCTCTCTGCATATCATAAAATGGAAAGCTGCCATTTTAATTTAATTTAATTTAGTGTCTAGTAAATTAAACACTGGGCGTTTTTGTATGGTCGTGCCACGTAGGTGTAATTCTGTTCAGAGTAGGTACGAAATTCACATGTATGTATAATGATACTATAACAGGGTGGATTAAATATCTATTTTAAATCATTAAAGTAGTTATGGTAACATGCGCTGAACAGTGCCGCTGATCCACAACCACAACATGCACGCCCTGCGCTGTTCAGAAGGAAGTTGACAATACGCAGTGACCTATAGCCAAATGCACTTATGCTTTGTCTATAGTAAACTTGTCACCTGGAAAACCAGGCAAACATTCATGGAGCGTAAAAAATCTTTATCTGTTGTGTAAACGGCTCAAGCCCGGTTCACTGGTCCTTTTAGGATATTCTATTAACACATTTCCGTTATCCCAAATTTTTACTTTGTCGTGATATCTCCCAGATTGCATTTAACCTCGTTAAGATAAAATCTCAGCACCATGCGTCCTTACTTAGCAAGTTAAAAGTTCACTGTATTTCTCATTTTTTAATCTTTGTAAGTTGTCTTGAAAACTGTTGCAAGACTCAAAGGACAGGATTTAAAAAAAAAAAATAATAATAATAATTTAAAAAATTGAATGTTTCATTTTTTATTTTTTTTATCTTTGCCTTTAGGGTTCATTCATAGTGAACTAAATTAAAAACCTAATTGCAAAAGCTATGCTCGAAAAGCCGCGCTGGGGAAAAACCCTCCATTTCATCTGTTTACCCCCTTCTTAGCAATTTAAAAAAAATTCTATTTAAATTCCCCACAAATAACTGTTCGGTGAATAAGCCCTGAAATGGTCCTCGACGGGTGGGGTGTCACATCATTTAATGTATTCCGTAGATTTGCCACAAAACGTCACTGCAACTATCTATTTCACATGAGGTCTTCGCATGACAGCGCCACTGAATATTAAATGGGTTTATTCAATATTTAATTAGTTCAGCCATTTTATTTATTTATTTTGACTGCTGGGAGCTGCCTGAAGGCCCTTCATGCTGGGCCATGCAAGCAGTATATTGTGGGGTAGTCATAGTTTCATTGTGACCATCAGTGTGGTACGTATGTATCCTGAGGTTCTACAGATTATTAAATATAAATAACTTTGCTTTTAAACTCTCACAAAACTCCATTATCTGTCATGACAAGTGATTGATTTCTGTTTTTTTTGTGGAGGGGGTGTCACTTGTACATAATACAGTAGTGTGTGTACGGTATTGATATCAATTCATGTTCTCAAACCATCATTGCTTTTGCGTTCACCAACTGTTACTCCTCCTACGGTGCACCATTTTCTGTAGGTTGAAAGGGTCAAGCTGATCATATACTTATTGCATTGTCTATTATTTCATTGTGAGAAAGTGTGATGTTTGTTGTGACAGCACTACATCGCGTGTTTATGTACAAATACTCCTTGACTTATAACGTCCTCCCAAGGGGCGAGTAGTGAGAAAGACGATATTCTGGATCAGTAACTGGGGCGTTAAGGGTCAGTCTATCTGCTAAACAGTATCTCAAAGCGGCATCTTGGTTTCCAGGGATTTCAAGGTTAATGTTGCACACTGCACCCTGAACCTGCCCTCCGCTCTGAGATATTCTTAGAATTGCATTCATTTTGTAAATGCACATAGCTATAAGCCAGCCCTATCAGAGCTGTCAATCAGGCAGGCGTAATAATACAGGCCGCCTGAAATAAATTTTGTCCAATGTGTCTGCGCACCCAAAGGCATAGCTAGGTTCTAGAAATACCTGGAGCTTCAGCCCAACGGGGAAAAATTTATGGCCCTTACTGCAACAGGGAGGTGGCGATATGTCATGATTAATCCCTTCTGCTCTATCCATAAACGGCTAGTTCTCGGCATTTTCCACGCTCTCCATAAAAGCAGGGATGTGCAGCAAAGTTATGTTCTCCAGTCTGGCAGAGCACAACCATCACGATTTTGGTGGGACAGTCCCAAACTTGGGGTCCTGTCCTAAGTTCTGCTCATTGGAGACACTATTAAACGGTCCCAAAAAGCCTAGCACTCATGCTATGCTCAAGGTATTAGGACACTGCACTGAGACTGATGTAAAATAAAAAAAAAACATTAATATCCCCAACTATAGAGATCTGGGGTTGACGAGCTGACCAAATGTCACCACCTTCCTGGAGAGAGAGAGGGCTGTGTGTAAATGGATTGACTTCCCCTTGTGCGGGTTGAGGGCCTACAGAAAGACCTACTGAGCAATGCTCCTGACAGACACTTGGAAGGTGTGCATTTTTATTAATTCAAAGCTTTATCTACGTTCTGGGAGGTCATCGTTTCCCTTTAAATAAAAGCAGTATTGGGTTGCGTCAGTGTGTCTTTAAGCCTCATTTTTGCTTAATGGGAGATTTGACTTGTTTTAGAAGGGTCAGGGTAGCCAATTCTGGATTTCACTTGAAGTGTAACAGGACATTATGTACAGCTCTGTTTTAATTATGAAATAAATGCTTTAACCTCTTAAGGACAGAGGCGATTGTACAAGTTCTGACCAAAACAAAACCTAGCATTTGCTCTACAAGTCTGTTTAACCATAATTTAGCTCTTTAATATGAAGTACACCCACACTTATTATATATCATTTTGTTTAGGATATACAGAGCTTCCATTTCACATCAAATATTCATATAGGAAACCTAATTTAATATGAATAAAAAAAAATTAAGTCATTAAGAAATGTTGTTTTTCAAGTTCTGCATGGCATTATACTGCTGTACTATGACATTCAAGCCATCCTTTTGATCCTGGCATAGCACGCCCTAACAGCGTTAATGGGTTAAAGCGTTACTCCAACCCTTAAAAGAATAAAAATGAATGTCACCACCTCTCGATTACTATAAATATAGTTTTAAAACTAAGTTGTGTTTGTGTTTTATTTATTTTTTTACCTGGAAACCCTAAGCTGGGCAAAGCACGCCGCACCCCCCCCCCATCCCCACCGGAAGTCACGGCAGCTGACATGCACCCAATCTTAAACTTCTCATAGAGATTGATTGGACCATTTATCCAGCTCAGTGTGTCTGAGGGTGCTGTGAGCTGGCAAGAGGATGAGCGAGGGAGGGAGTTTATAATATTTGAATGTATGGGATCGGGAGGTGGGGAAGACTGCGGGGAGGCAGGGGACACACCAGAATCTCCTTGCAGACAGCGATAACATTACATCTGTCGCAGTGCACACTGATGACAAACTTAAAATATGCACAGAATTGACAATGGCAGTCCACAACAGGGCTTTGTACTGCCACTGTCACATGTACTGGAGGTGCAACCAGCCTTCTTCAATCTAAAACTCTGTACATAGTCTCCTATCACCATGACCACTTAAAAAAAAAAAACAGTAGTGGTTATGGTGGTTGGAGCAACCCTTTAAGTTTAAACACTGACCAGCACCGAACTAAAATAATGTGGCTGATTACAATGGAGACTTGCATTTAAAACGTACAAGGATCCCAATATTTGACAATATACTAAAGTATGACACCTACCCCTATACTATCGGCTAGTGGTGACCAAACAGGTAGATCCTCAGATGTCTTAGAACTGCTCCTATGATGAAATGCTAGACATTTATGCTTGTGGTGAGTACATAACCCTTACCCAGAATCCTTTGCGTCATGGCCAACTTCACACACTGGCTGTAGGACATCTGGCACAGAATGAATGGCAAAGGGACGGCTGAAGTCTGTGGCTATGTATGAAAACAAAACGCTGCCTTGTCTTCCTGCAGCTTGTTGCTTTTCCTACACAAAAAGCCCCTTCAGGGAGAACTGGTTGCAGAACCTAAATATTTTAACCTGTTCACTGCTGGAAAGGGGGGAGCTGTGTGCATACCCTGAGTTTAAAGCAGAATATTTCTAATTGCATTTAAATTGAGTAAATATTGCGAAACTAACAACGTGACGGACGCTTGAAGACAAAGTCCAATCTCCATAGAGAATTTTTGGCTCTCTGATTACCGCCTGGTGAGGGATGCAAGATCAGCTGCATCTCACACAAACTGGCTTCTGTTTGCTGCGGATCATTAACCCCTTCAATGCCAGCGTGGTGTGCAAAGACTGGATGAGAGTGATAGGAGTTGCAGCCTGCACCATTGTGAATTCATGTACTCCTTCCCCGTAATACCGAATAAATCCGTAAATCGGGAGATTCAAAGTAACCATGCGTATGTACTGCAAGATTGCAAAAATCTTACAAACCTCAACGGAAAGTCCAGCCTCGCATAATATGAATTCAAGTATGGAGTCTGCTGACCATTTAAATTTAAACTTTTCTAAATTTTCCATTAAGTCCAAAAATGTATCTTGCGTATAGGGTTTTTTTAAACGCATATCCGGATACCGACATGATTAAATAAATTATTTTATGCCAATTAAGACTCTGGCTAGCTACAGATCACACAGATAAAAATTAAGAATTTGGGGCCCAACGATACTGGGGTACTCTGTAAATCGTGGTTAAAATAAAACACAATATTTTGTACAAGACAGTTGATTTTTTTTAAATCGCCAGGAAAGATTTGTATGAAGACATTTTTATAAAACCTTTTCTGTGTTTGCAAGGTACTAAGTGTGTGTTGTGTGTTTTGTCCACAATATCTATACAAAAATAGAATGGGACACTGCAATGCGAAAAACAAGCTAACAAGCAAATCTTTTCCATACGGGGAGAGAAATGAGTCACAGTATCAAACATTAAAATGCTGTCCGAGGCTGACTAATTTTTGTCCACAAGGCGTGATGCAATGATGCTAAAAAGGAAATAGCCCCAGAATCTGATAAACTGAGTTACAGGATGCATCTGCTTAAATACAATATTTTAAAATGCTGTATACCAAATCTGAATAGAACCCCAGATAAAATGCACTTCTGAGTATTTCATGAATATAAAACCTCTATGAGATACCCATACTAGCTGTTTCGTATTTTTTTTATTCAAAACTGCTGCTAGATCCCAGGCTGTGCCGAATCTGTTCTGAGTTCCTTTCAAACCAGAAATTGATATGAAATGTATTTATCATTCTATAGCACGATTTATTTAGCTTATTTAATAAGCAGTGCGTTATGGAAATAGCATTTAGTTCAATTGTCAACTTGCTAGTGCTGTAAGCAATAAACTGGTGAACTGCAACTCCCAGAAATCTAAGGCCGGGTCTCATATATAGCAGTATTTTTGGGATGAAAAGGGAAACACTGCAGGTTGGGAGGAAGTGGTAGAAAGGGTGGGCTTTCTAACGAATTCTGACACGCTCAGATAATTTTATTATGCAAATAATTTGATGTGATCCTAACCGAATGGCACAGAAAGCACACACAAAGGAAAAAAACAGACAAACAATTGATTTTATAAAAAAAAAATTAGGGAGAGCTATTTACTTGTTTTCTTCTGACGGTGACCCCCAGCTCTCATTGTCATTGTTTCTGTAAGCCAGATTTTGAAAAATGCTTCTTTCCTGCAAGTCATTGACTGTTCCGTTTTCCGTCTTCCCACAGTGGTCCTTATTGGAGAATCTGGAGTGGGTAAAACTAACCTCCTCTCTCGCTTTACAAGAAATGAGTTTAACCATGACAGCCGTACCACCATTGGAGTGGAATTCTCCACTCGCACGTTGACTGTTGATGGACATCTGGTGAAGGCCCAGATTTGGGACACGGCGGGCCTGGAACGGTACAGAGCTATCACATCTGCGTAAGTATGAAAGCCATAATGTCCCCTGTATTGATTAATTGCTGGATGTAACCACACACAGACCTGAAAAAGGGTCAATGTGTACTGGTTTAAAAAACAAGTTACTGACAGGCTGAAGACCAGAGACCGAGCAGGAGGATACAAAGCGTAAGTAAACTTATTTTGTGAGTGAGGGTGAGCAAGAGAGAGTAAGTGAGTGGGGGTGGGAGTGAGTGATATATAGAGAGTGAGTGTGTATGTTTAACAATATTTATTTAAAATGTGTGTTTTGTATACATACACTATATATAGAGATATCTCTATAGTGTTTGCATACAAACTTTTTTGGCTTAGGAGGGGAGCGGACATAGACAGCAAACAGAGCTCAGCTCGTGAACGCACATGCGCTGTAGAGCACTCAGAACCTGATTGGTGCAGCGCGAAGCCGTGCATGCGCACCAGAGAGCAATGACTCTCAAAGAGAAGCGTCTGATTGGCCCTGCGATTTAGTCATTTTGTCTAAAAAGGGCGCGTGGCCTGACAAGGAGCTCGGCGCTGGAGCGGAGGTAAGTTTTAATGATAAGGGCTCGAATAAAAAATGTTTTAAGGTCAAACTAATATAAAAGCAAGAAAGAAGGCTATGGCTGTCTTTCTTGCTTTTATATGTTGACTATAGTGATCCTTTAGAGTCTTATCCACTTTAATATTTGATATATATATATATATATATATATATATATATATATAATTATAATATCTCAATTTAAAATTCTGGTTCTTGCCTTCAAATCTCTACATAATGCTGCTCCCACCTATCCATCCTCCCTTTTACACAAGTATGTCCCGTCTAGGCCCTTACGATCTGCTGAAGACTTACGTCTATCTTCTGTCCGTACTCCCACCTCTGATGCTCGCCTTCAAGATTTCTCAAGGGCTGCACCGTTCCTGTGGAACTCGCTTCCCTCCTCCGTTAGATGCTCACTCAGTCTCCACTCCTTCAAAAAATCGTTAAAAACCCACTTCTTCATAAAAGCGTATCAATTAAACTGTTAATAGCTCCTGACTGATTCCTCTTCTGCAACTGTCACTAGTCTAATACTATCCTTACTTTTTTGTGTCATTTTACCCCACTCCCTCTAGCATGTAAGCTCATTGAGCAGGGCCCTCAACCCCTCTGTTCCTGTGTGTCCAACTTGTCTGGTTACAACTACATGTCTGTTCGTCCACCCATTGTAAAGTGCTGCAGAATATTATAAATATAATAATAAAATATATAATTTTTTTCTGGCTATATTTTATAATTCAAATAGTGACAAACTGTTAATGTTACCAGGAAAAAGAAGGCCCATTAACAATTTTTTGAAATAATTTTGTATGTTAAAGTGGAATGTCTCCTTACCTGTCATAGAAAAGCCATCATGGCGGTTAACAAATTTTGTTGAAAAGCAAATGTGCACTTTTTCTCCTCACTTTATTATTAGGAGAAAAACTAGAATGGGGAAATAAAATTACAGAAGAGGTGCAGTAAGGAGTATTGTGACGCAAATTGAAAACTATCAGGTGTTTAAAAAAACAAACAAAAAAAAAAACCCAGTGGAACCCAAACATTTTTGATATAAACTCCCATAATGCTGCCTTGGTCACGATACATTCTATCTTCTCCACCAAGGCATCACCTTGTGAAGCCATGGCCCCAAAATCCACCTCTTTTACTGTGCCTGCCCTCCATCCTTTCCTTTCATTATGTTTTACTTGTTGTCTATGCTAACCTGACGCCTCATTCTAGGTATTATCGGGGAGCAGTCGGAGCTCTCCTGGTCTATGACATTACCAAGCACCAGACGTATGACAGTGTTGAGCGGTGGCTGAAGGAGCTGTATGACCACGCCGATGCCAGCATTGTGGTAATGTTGGTCGGCAACAAGTGTGATCTGGCAGAGGCCTCACGGGAGGTACCTTCAGAGGAAGCCAAGATGTACGCAGGTAAACACTACATGGACATCCGATTGCAGTACTATCACTGTTTGTTTGATCCTGGACACTGCTAGGTCCCTACTGGATAAATGAACAGACACTAAATTAACACAAAATATTATGGGCTATGGAGATCTGATTCGCCATTTTTGTTGTTCTCACAAGATGTAATTATAGAGGCTCAGGGGTTAAATAATGATCTAATATCAATAATACATTTAAAAATGACTTGATCTTTCTTAAAATAAGGAACATCCACTATATCGAGCAGAACAGAATAAGATGACCGGTAGTTGCATAATGGGCAAACCAGTTTGTCAGAATACATGTTTGAGAGTAAAAAACGTAGGTCTATGGAACCCTAAGTAAAGCTTCTGGAACAAAGCATGACTTGGTTCTTTTTTTCCCCAACGGTTTCGGGAATCTCGCACTTACCCATAAAACAAAGTAATCCCTGCTTTGTCTTATAATATCTTTCTGTTAATACTTTGTGAAATTCTGATCTAATTGGAGCATGGAGTGGAGCTTAAAGAATTGTATAAAAGCCGTGCTTTTTAGTAAGGACATAGACGGATGTGATGCAATAAGCAAAAGTGAAGAATGTACTCCAGATAATTCCATACTAAGCTTCAGGGGCGAACCTAGAACATTTGGCACCCGGGGCGGATCCTGTATTCGGCACCCCTCTTTAAAATGTAAAAAACACCCACAAATGTTTAACAACAATATTTATTGTACAAACTTGTAAATTGTATATCAACACTAGAACTATGAAAAATGTATTAACTTAGAAAAAAAAAACATTGTCCTCCCCCATTATACAAACCCCCTGTCCTTCCCTCTTATACTAAACCCCTGCACACCCGTCCAAAAAACCCTGCCCCCCTTTCCACAAAAAACCCTGCCCCCTCATACAAAACCCCTGCCCTTCCCCATTCTACAAAAATCCTGTCCTGTCACCTTATACAAAACCCTTCACCAAAAAACCCTGTACCCCCTTCCATAAACTTAATGCACCCCACACACATAAAAAAAACCCTCCTTCACATCAAATTCATACCCCCCTCCTTCGCATCAAATTCATACCCCCCTCCTTCACATAAAGTTAATACACCCCTGTCCCTTTCACATAAATATCCTCTACTCACGATTGAGGATGACTTAAATTGTGCTCTGCTTTGCTCCGGCCTCAGGCAAAGAACCCTACTGCCGCCGCCGTGCTGCCCTCAAGTCAGCTCGGATCCTTCTGCTGCTGTAGATCCGTGAAGGCGGACAGGCGTCGATGCACATTGGCGTGATGTTGCGCATCTCAACATTCCTCCTCCCCCTGCTCCTCCACATTACTGCAGTATAATGCAGGCTGACGGCCGTCGCCCACACTATAAGAATGTATAGGAGGTGACTCATAACACTGACAGTCATGGCACCCCCCCAATGAGTGGCACCTGTGGCGGACCGCCCCTCCCCCCCCCCATTATGATGGCGGAGCTTTCCAAGTACCTGTTGATTTGAGTATAAATAATATGTACCTACCCATCACAGGGCAATAATCACATTGTATTGTTCTCTTAACAGATGGCAATGGATTGCTGTTTATCGAAACATCAGCGCTTGATTCAACCAATGTGGAAGTAGCATTTGAAACTATCCTGAGGGGTGAGGATCATACTGGCCAGAAAACCTACTTTTTAATTTTATTTAAAAAAAAATGTATGCCAATGATGTCTGGGGCGGGAGACATTTCAGAAAACCCGAACATTTATGGTTTTTCTGTTGGAAAAAGTGGCAGAATTTTTCTTAAATCGACTGTCTGTGAAAAAAATGGAATGTAATAAAAAATGATGTTTAGCGTGCAAAAAAAGGAACCGATGAGCGAAAATTTCATAAATTATGTCAATTATCCAAACATTTGGCAAAAAACGGTGACACAATGCTTTTAAGCATTATAAATAAAAGATAACTTTTTCAATTTTTTATTTTTAAAAAATGGTTGTATTACATACCCTAATCACCTAATGAGAGAGTATAGAATCTCATGTTTCCATCACTCACTTTTTTTTTTATTAATCTCCTAGATGTGTACCAGAAGGTTTTAAAGAGTAAAGGAGGCACTCCAAAGGACTCCACCGTCGTACTGTCTAAGGAGGAGTCTCCAAATCAGTCTGCAGCCCCTCCGTCAGGAGCCGGTCAATCCTGCTGTAGAAATATCTAAGGAATGGCACCCTTTAGGAAATGTACCATCTAACAAACCAGTACCATAGTCCACCAGGCTCGAGTGGTCATGAGCTATGATGTTCTGAGAGACTGACTGTCTAAGTGTTGTGACTTGGAAGACCATGCAAGGTTTATCGTGGTATACCAAAGCTTCTATGCAACTGCCATATACTTTTAGACCAAAGATACTCCGAGAGGGAAATTGTACTAAGTCAGAACTGTGTACACCATAATCCCGTGTTCTAAACCATCAAAAATGGTGGATCTTATAGTGAATGTTTTGCATACACTCTTTGTTGTCCTTCTTTGCGGCTTTTAATGTGCACTGTGTTCAAATATTTCTTCCCTGGTCAAAACTAAAATGTCCGCCTCCATTATGCCTTTTTTATTTTCACACCTCTTTCTTAAAGTCTCAGTTTCAGCTTTGAAGAGTCGATGGTATGACTTTGGGAGAGAGCAGAAGGTATACTTGAGGTAGTTGAAAAGTAATTATTTCAATTTCCTAACTCCATCAAAACTGTAAAGTTAAATGCGCTTCCACAGTTGTCATTGGTTTGTGTGTTGAAATGACAACAGTTAGTTTGTAAATTGTTTTATTTAAGTTTTGTGATCTGAATGAAGAAAATTAAGATAAACAAACAAAATAGAGCCCAATTATTATAAATTAAAGAAAAAAAAAAAAGGCAAATACTGAAAGAATATCTAAAGAACCGTTTTCTAGCCCATGAAGAGAAGCAACTCCAACCCGCGCTCTGTTTCAGTCACTGCCAAATTAAACTGTTCCCTAAGTTGGGAGCTCCAATGGAGCCTTGGCTGAGGAGCTCCACTAGGGTAAGAACTATTTGAACATATGATGGTGGCAGGTGAAGCTGTTAATGTACTTTAACATCTGCCTTAACTAAAGCTGGATGAAAGGGGTTTTAGTGATTTGATTTAGCTAAGGTTTTTAAGATAAAAATGAGCATAGCGTATTTCCATTTAAACCAGCAAAAGAACGAGTGAGTTTGTTGATTTTGAGACCCTAAATTTAGTTTGTCCCATAGAGAGTAGGGTCTAAGTCTACTCTCTCATTTTGCCACTGTAAGATTAAGCAATTCCAAACTGCTTTAAAAAATAAACTACATCTAAAAATAGTACACTAAACCTGGAGAGGTCAGTGGCACCGACTGTACTTATTTAGTTTCTGAAAATGTTATTTTAGATTATACATTTTTTTTTGCATATTTTAAATTAACCTTTTAAAGGGAAGTCTTTTTTTATTGGGAGCTGAAAACCGCTAGTGAAAGCTGCAGCTCTCTTGTCTGCAGCAATTGCAGCCCTCCCCTTCTAACCCCGCCCAGCCTTTCTGTGGCTGTCCAATCACAGACTTCCCAATGCAGCTCAATGAGAAGTCTTTGTAAGGCAGGTTCTCTGGGCAATTGCTGCCTCTAAGTTTAGCTTCACGGAGTTAAACAACCCAGGAAGTAACAGGACTGGTTTTATGGTCGACAGCCAGGGGTGTAACAAGTGCCAATTTCTACTAAAATCCTTACTGTTTTGTAAAATGGGAATACGCTGAGTGGCCTGTGAAGTGTACCTTTTAGTTTAAAGTACACTATAGTTTCCTCTCTTTTTGCTCTGACAGTTTTATGTATAAAAGGGTAACTTGTTATATGCTGGTTTGATACATTTTAACAATATTTTTCCAAGTGGGCTTATAAAGCACAGTTGGAGCCAACAGCTCATTCTGAAACCTCAAATATAAAAATTAGCAGCTAACCCTACATTAGGTCAAAGGTAGCCTAAGAGTTGTGGAACTTTAAAGGGACACTACAATCACCAAAACAACTTTAGCTTAATGAAGCAGTTTTGGTGTATAGATCATGTCCCTGCAGTTTCACTGCTCCATTCTCTGCCATTTAAGAGTTAAATTACTTTTCAGTGTAATTGGTTTAAACCACTGTTTATGCAGCCCTAGTCACACTTCCCAGCATGTGACTTACAAAGCCTTCCTAAACACTTCCTGTAAAGAGTAATCTAATTTTTCACTTCCTTTATTGCACATTGTTTTATTTGGAATGTTGTATCTCCTGCTATGTTAATAGCTTGCTTGACCCTGCAGGAACCTCCTGGTGTGATTACAGTTCAATTTTTTTAGAGCAGTAGATACTGACTAACCAAGATGTAACTAATGTGTTACATCTGATTAAAAATGAGACAATTTTTAAAAATTTTTTATTGGGGGCCGAGTCAGTCACAGCCAGGGTACGTGTGGCTATGGCTGCAGAAACAAAAGTGATTTAACTCCTAAATGGCAGAGAATTGGGCAGTAAAACTTCAGAAGCACAATCTGTACACAAAAACGGCTTCATTGAACTAAACTTGTTTTGGTGACTATAGTGTCCCTTTAAAGGTAAACAAAACCAGGAGAGGGAATTTTATTGGCTGCAGATAATGTTGAGCTCCTTAAATTATTTGGCCCTTACTATTACGGTTTAATTATTAAGCCTATTTCTATTTTTAGGATGCGTTAAAAGGTAGAAGGAAGTAATATTTCCCCACTGGACCATAAACATAACACAGAGCTTGTTTTTTTGTATTGTGATTTCCAATTCAAATTCTGCTAGCCTCACTGCTTTTTACACAATTTTTATTAATCTCAAGATTTCTGATTGACATGCACTATCATTATTTTTGAATAAAACAAGGGAGAATTTTGAACAGAAACCTGTGTGTTGTAAAATAACAGATTTATTAAAAAATAATATACAAATATAGGTTGGCCTTGACGGAACTGATTGTTAAATTTCAGAAGGCTTTTTACATTACATTTGTTTTTACAAAGCATGAACACATTTACAAAGACCTTCACCTCCAGAAACCAATGACACGTGTCTAGACAACCCAAAAAGACACACGCACACATCTCTAACTACATAACATTTATGGAAACCATCCCCTCCTTGTATTAGGATGTCTTTTAACAAACTGGGATGCTGACCCAGATTGATATGAGGGATGAAAACTATGAGAAATTATCTAAATCTTCTCTGATGTCCACCGTACCTAGTGACGTTTTCTGTCCTAAGAGTATCTTGGAAGATGCACTCCGTGCTTTGTAGAATGGCACAGATTGTTTTGTGCAAGTTGTTCTCAAGAGCTTGTAAAATTCGAGGATGACTTCCTTAGTTCTAAGTAAATAAGATGATGATTTTTGTCTGGCAGAACTCCATCTGCGCTATACGCCGCAGTGTCTGAATCTGAATTTGCCCACGCTTGTTGACGCTCTTGACAGTAATTTGTCATTCTGAGTAGTGGAGTATTATGGTTGATCATATCCACCCATTACCTACTCAGAAGAACCCTAGGGTTCAGCGAGAACAAAACTGGGGTTTGGCCACGATTTGCCCATTGGGTGGCAAAAGCACTTGGAGCCACCCAAAGGGTATCGCTGAACAGGGGTCAGGACCCTGTAGTATCGGATGCTTGAGGGAAGAGAGCATGTCGCTTACTCCCATAGAGGACACTGTGCTGGAGGCAGAGAGGCAGCAGTGGGAAGTGAGCTGCTGCCGACCTCACACACCAGCTTCTGCCAACCGTACTCCATGCAAGCCACCCTTCTGCAGAAAAAAAGGTAAGCTAACAGGAGGGTGGCTGCAAATATAGAAATCATGACTTATGTGTGTGTCAATGTGTGTATGTGTCACTGTGTGTATCGGAGCGTGTGTGCCTCTGTGTCAAGGTGTATGTGCCTGTGTGTATCTACCAGTGTTGTGTGTGTGTGTGTGTGTGTGTGTGTGTGTTAATATGTATGTATATCGGTGTAAGTATGTATGTGCAGCCATCCCAGCAAACACCAACACAACATGCTCACACACCCCTGCAAACACACCAGCTTTACACACAGAAGCACATCTGCTCCTAAGTACTACAATTGGTTTACTATCTGTAGAAGTGTGTGTGTGTGTGTGTATACGTAATATTTTCTTTATTGGAAAATGTAGGATTTGTTTTTTAAATAGAGAGGTGTGTGTGTGTGTGTGTGTGTGTGTGTGTGTGTGTGTGTATATATATATATATATTTTTATTTTTTTTTATTTGTGGTCGTGGCAATATAGCCGTATATGGAAACTTAGCATATGATAACATATCAATATTTGGAATTAGTCGGTTGTGGTGTGCCGAAACCGACAGAGGAGTAGGCCTGTAAAAGTGGGCAAAAATAAATTATCATAAGACGTAATACGTTGACCAAAACTTTATTTAGATAAGTCACAGAAAGCTAGTCTTAATTCTTTAACAGGATTGGGTATGTAAAGAGTATAAGCGGAAGATTTCCAGCGTCCCATTGTTTTGATGATGTGCGGAGGAATGTGGTTAGCAGAAGCTGTAGATGCTGCTCCTATTCGGAAAGAATGACCCGAAAATTGACTAGGGTTCAAGCCGAGTCTAGTCAACAGCAGTCTTACATAGAGCATAAACTTTACTGTAGTTAGAACGTTACCGTGCAGTTCTAGCAAAGGTTGTAATGGTTGTTTGTGGAGTGATAATAGATAATTGTCAAAATTTTGTACAGGGCACCATTTGTTATGAGTAGGGTATAAGGGGATCGTAACGGTATGACCTATGGCGCTGGTTTTTGAGTGTTTTAGCGTGAGTAGGTAATGGTCGTTCTGTTTCGCTAAGTCCATAATTCTTAGGTAATCAGGGGACGTGATAGGCCTAGTTGTGAATTCGTTGGGACGGAGGAATCCATAAAAAGCAAGATATATGGCTGATTTTATTACCGTGTTTGTCCTGGGCTCAAAAGGAGAGGAATCTAACAAGTTTACTAGTGCATGAAATATGTGGTTATCAATAGGTAGTCGTTTCTCGGGGATATGTGTATCTAATTTCTTAATGCCTCTAAGAACTGTCTTGATTTGATATGAGGACAGGAAACTCATGGCGTTGGGTTGTTGAATTAGCATGTGGTGTTGAATTCCCGTAAGGTATAGTTTTATAGTGTTAAATGATAGTTTAAGGTTGATGTGGCAAAAAGAAGTGAAACCCAATATTGTTTCTATCGTGAACATATCGTGAATGTGAAATTCAGTGATGAATTTTTTGAATATGTGAAAAGCTCTGTCGTAAGTGTTTCTAGTGTTTACAGAGAGTGCCATGTGAGAAATGTGACGTGCGTGATTTAACAAAGCTTTTAATCCATTATCATGTCTGTGAAAAGTGGGACTGGAGTTGCCCGTCTGGAGGCGGTGGGTAGTGTCGTGAAGAATTCCTGAAAACGAAATCGAGACAAATGATCAGCACTGATGTTTGTGCACCCTGGAACGTGAATACATGTTAGAAAGAATTGACAAGTGGCTGCTATCCATGTGAGTCGTCTCAATAGCCTCATAATTACCAGGGATGATGACCGGCCTTTATTGACAATATGGCAAGTAGCCATATTATCAGAATAGCACCACACCGTGTGACCGGACCACTGGCGGCCCCAGGTAACGGCCGCAGCCACGATGGGGTACAATTCGAATAAAGCTGAGGTCTCTGTGAATTTTGTGAGTGATTTGACCTCAGTTGGCCATGGCCCCACGAGCCATAGGTCACCCCATATGGCTGCAAACCCCGTGTTTGCTGCAGCGTCTGTCCATATTGTGGGTGAAGTGTCTGAGTGAGATGGTATAAACATGGCACGCCCATTCCAAGAAGTGAGGAAAATCCTCCACATGCTCAAATCGGATGTTGCAAGTTTGTCTAGTGAAATGTAAGATGTGTCTGAGGTGAATTGTGGAAATAGTGATAGCAAATGTGAAATAAATGATCTCCCCTGGGGAATGATTCTCATTGCAAAATTAAGCGATCCCAGCAATGATTGTAGGTCTTTCTTAGTGCAACGACCTTGCTGTAGGTAGTGGTCAATACTTGCCAGGATACCCTCAATTTTCTCCTGAGGGAGGCTGGCCTGCATGTGTACTGTGTCTAGTTGTATTCCTAAAATTGCATCTGGGTGGCGGGCCCCAGGGTCTTGTGTGGGGAGACTGGAACAGAAAGTGACTCAAATAATGCCAACATGTGTTTTAAACTTGTGGGTGGACTTGTGTTGTTCTCAATTGTGAGGAAGTCGTCTAAATAGTGAATCACAGAGGGACATTGGTAAACATTTAGCAACAACCAATATAAAGCCTCTGCAAATGTGTCGAAAATACGCGGGCTGCTCTTAGAGCCAAAAGTGAGACGAGTGAAGAAATAGTATAACCCTTCCCATTTAATGCCGTGAAGGTGCCAAAGTGTAGGGTGCATAGGCAGTAGTTTGAAGGCATTTACTACATCCGTTTTGCTTAACCATGCCCCTGTGCCAGCTTTAATGATAGCCCGATGGCATGGTCGATAGTGGCGTAATGTAGTGAAAACTCTTCAGATGGTATCAGTGAATTTAGGCTAGGGACCGTGGAGGAATGTGGTGCGGATAAATCAATGATCAGCCTGGGTTTAAGTGAGTTTTTCCCCGTGACAATCCCAATGGGATTGGTTCTCCAAGAAGTGAAGGGTGGTGAAAGGAATGGACCCAGCAAAACCCCTTGTTTCACCTCGGTTGTGATAAGTTTAAGTACCAGCTGTGGGTCATCCCGTGTGGAAAGTAAGTTGTCACATTCCAGTGTGCCTGTAGGTAAATGTATCAACCCTGTGTGAAATCCCTCCGATAATCCTGTTATGAGATAGTCGCTGAAGTGTCGTGATGGGTGTAGACGTAGCAAATCGGTGAATAAGCTGAGGTTCACGCATGTGTGATAGGGTTTTGGGAAAGCTTTATTTGGGCACATTGTCTTGGAATGAGCCCTGAAACAATGTGAACAAACATGCATTAGTCTACAGGAACTAAAACCACAATTGCCGGCATTAAAATTGTTACATACTTGGGATTTCCCTAAGAAGACAATATCTCTTCCTAGTTTGTCTTTCAAACCTTTGTTTGATCTTGGGGGGTAAGTTGCTGCTTGGTTTTGTTCTACCTCAGCTGTATTAGGGCAGAAATTTGTGCTGTGGGTTGCTGATGAGCATACTGCACAAGTTGGGGGCCTGAGGCCTGCAAAGTGCCTACAGAATAGCTCAGTGTCCAACTTGCTCCAATTGATGTTTAAATTGAACTGAGCCAGAGCTGCTGCCACTTTTGCAGAGAAGGAACGGTGGTAATCGTAAAACGCTGTACCACCGTATTTGTGTCCCAGATCCACCAACTTGTGCATGTACGTATCCAGCTCGGCTCTTTTCCCCGGGTATACAGTGCAATATACATCCCTATAGATGCCAAACCCTAATACAAATTCTGGGATGTTCAATTTTTTGTTTAGGCGAGGGTCTCTAGCTCTAAGGACTACGGAAACATCCCCACAAGCAAAGGTCCTGTTTTCAAGGACATCCTGGGAGGCAATGAGCAATGAAGCTAGGTTAACGTCCTTGCCTTCCAGAATGTCTTTTTTAAGGTGAGCTGGGACCATGTGTGAAGGATCAATGGATTCTATGTCAGCCGTAGCTGCCAGGGTATTACCGGGTAAGGTATTAGCAAGAGGCTGAGTGGTGACCGTTGTATTTGTCGTGGACTGAGTAACACTACCGGCCTCCAATTTGTCCAGCCTGTCGCTGATTGTCCCCATGGATGCCATAAGGGACGTCATCATAGCATGAAATGCTGGCATTTGCGATCCGCTAGGGCCTTCCCCTGCATCGGAGTTGTCAGTGGTAGTGTATAATAGCCTATACAACTCCGCCTTCCTAGCTGTAGCCGGGAAAGGGATGCAGCGTCTTCTTAGTTCAGCTGTAAGACGTGGTATGGTCCATGATCTAAGGGATGCAGGGCTATTCACGTCTGTACCCGGAACAGGGGTGGCAGGCCTAGCGGGTGTGCTAGGTAGTGACAGTTCTTCAGGGATATCAGGCGTTAGTGACATAACTGAAATTATAAATATAAACAGTCAGTTGTATAAAATGTATTGTGGGTGGGTACTGGTGGGCTAGCTAAGTACCAAGCGGTGAAACAATTAAACTTCTTTTGAGAGTGACAGATGAGACCCTGCTAGTTGCCAAGTGGCTTGAGAGGCACTATCTATGCGTGGGCCCGAGGGGAAGATTGAGGCCACCGAACGTTGTGGCGGGGTGT